TGCTCGGGGGCCCATGTGGGATGCTAGGAATCGAACCTGTGTTGGCCATGTTGGCTGCGTGCAAGGCAAACGCCCTACCTGCTGTGCTATCACTCCAGCCCCAGCAGTTGTTTGCTATGTGTGTGTGTCTGTTTGTCTGTCTGAGGATCAGACCAAGAGCCTCACACTTACAAGGCAAGTGTTTACTACTAAGCTACCTCCTCACCCCCTGGGTAAGGTAATTTTTTTTTTATTGTGCCCAGGAATTAAAGCTCATGGAAAATGTGTCACATTGCTCAAATGCCCTTGGCTTTTTAAGCCTCTGCACTTTTCAGAGCACTGTCTAGGGTCTTGTTTTACCTGCTCTCTGGAGGACACCAAAGGCTCACTGCGGTCAGGGAGATGGCACAAAAGGTGGCAGTACTTGACTTACATGTGGGAGACCCGGGTTTGATCCCCAGCACCAACCACATGGTCCCCAGAGCAGTGCAGGAGTGATCCCCAGTCATGTGTGGGAATAACCCTGAATATTGAGTTCTCCCTCTCCCCCAAAAGAAAGTGCTGCGTGAATCCAACATTTAGGAGGGCACTTGGAGTAGTGAATGCTTTCCAGAGAGGCAGCAGCCTGGGAGGTGAGGATGCAGAAGCATGAGGAAGGTGTGAGTAATGGAGATGGGGAGCCACAGGGTCCCTCCCAGCCACACCCACACCCACACCGGGGGGTCGCACCACATCCAGGGGCTCCCGCCTGGGCCGCACCACACCCAGAAGCCTGTGCTGACCCTGTCTCCCTGCCTCACCCTATGTGCGGACACTCTTCCTGCTGAGTAAAGGTGGCTGGGTGCCAGCCCTAGTGACGCTGCTCCTGGCCAAGCAGATGGCAAGGTGGTACCAGCATACATGGGGTTAGACACAGGTTCCCGTGGAGACACTCTGGAGCGGGGCTCCGTCTCGTTCCTCTGGAGGCCAGCAGGCTTTATGGATGCTGCGGCCCAGCTCAGACCACTGCTGGTCCACAGGTCAGCAAAGGCTGAAAACTCCTGGTCTACCACCTTGGTTACAGCTGTGCATCTGTGGGGCTGAGATAGGACAGTGGGGAGGGCGCTGGCCGTGCACGTGTCTGACCCGGCTCATCCCCAGCACTGCACAGGAGGCCCTCTCACCTCTCCTGGGCCCCACAGCTGGGGCTGGAGGCAGTGGTAAGGTCTGGTACAGTGAGCGGCCACTGCAAAGTGACCAGAGCTGGCCAGAGCTCCCTGTGCAGGGGACAGTGGGTATCGGTGACACAGCCTGGAGTCCTCAAAGGTGGCCACTCCAGCCTGGAAGTGGCCACAGCAGGGCACAATGGCCTGAGGAAAGCGGCCAGGCAGGCCGGCTCGCGATCCAGCCCATGCTGCAGACTCTCTTCCCTGAGTGGTACTCAGCCGGAAGTACTGAGTTTCTTCCCGACCTGCTCTCCCACCCTTTTCTCATTTCCTCACTTTCCCCGGCTCCCCAAGCCTGGGGCCACCCTCCCTCTCACGTCCACTTAGTGACCAGGATGCTCCTCATGTCCTGGGGAGCCAGAGGCTCAGGAGCACATTCTGGCTTGGGAAGGCCCTGGGTGCTGCCCCCAGACCACAAGAGAAAAGAGAAACAGGCAGGAAGGCACCTCCTTCCCCCACCCACTGCAGGGGTTCCGTGGGCTCTACGGCCAGTGTATCTGTGCCGGGGTCTCAGGGTGCAGCTCATGTCCTGCCACCAGTGCTCGGGGAGAGGGCGAGGGGGCCAGCGTGGTCTCAGAATTGGGGCGTCTGAGGGCGCCCCGGGAAAGCAGTGGAACCTCACCGGCTCTGATCTGACCTCCAGACAGATCTCCTGTGAGGCGGGGCCAGCCGCCTGCCCCGCTGCCCCCTGCCCGGGGACCTGAGCTCAGCAAGACTGAGAAGCCTCTGGAGAGCCGCGGGGCAGTGCCGTCGCCAGGTCTGGGAGGTCGCCTCAGCAGTCGGAAGACATCGCTGGTTTGGATTTGGATGTAACTGTAGATTCACGGGACGTGGAAGCACTGTGCACCGCCTGTGGCTCCCGTGCCCACATCACATCCCACAGAGAGGACAGCAGCTCTGGGAGACTGAGGCAGCACCAGCAGGGACCTGCTGTCACTCAGTGGGTGTGTGTAAGCGTGCGAGTGCGTGTGACCTGCAAGTATGTATGAGTGTGCATGTGTGTGTGTGTCCAAGTGTGTGTGTGCGCTTTTGTGCGAGTGTGTGTGCGCAAGTGTGTGTGCGAGCGTGTGCCAGAGTGTCATGTGAGCGTGAGCAAATGTGTGCAAGATTTGTGAGCATGTGTGAGTGCATGGGAGCGGGTGTGTGAGCATGTGATTATGAGTATTGTGTGTGTGTGTGTGTATGAGAGTGCACATGTGAGTGACTGTACACGGGGGTTTGGGTGTGTGAACAAGTTGCATGGTATGTATGTGTGAGCATGTGAGTACGACATAGGCAGTTGGACAGGGAAGGGCCCATGGCTAGCGAATTCCTAGGATGTAAGAAAACCAACAGCCCAACACTAAGCACCCCCTTGCGACCCCAGGCCTGGGAAGACTCACCTGGCCCCAGCAACAGACCTGGTGAAGGCTGGACCCCCCCTGGGAGAAGCGCCAGCAGGGACAAAAGGCCAGGAAAGGAATTTCAAAGACCATCTGCCTGCTTGGCAACTGCCCTAGCAATGGACTTTGACTTAGGTAGAAGCCTCATGTGGGGGCTGGTTGGAGAAACCCTCTAAAAGTCACCTTGAGCAAAGGAAGACAAGAACCTTACCCAAAATCCTGGGTAAGTCCTAGGAGTGACCCTTTTCCGGCAAAGAGCAAATCCTTACTCCACCCTGAGTCCCTGGCTCCCTGAGAAACTGGGTGCTGGGGATCAACTCCCGTGCAGAGACCAAGTAGATGTCAGGTGTGGCTTGACAGCCACCTGGTTGTATTGACCTGTGTTGTGCAGGGGCTCATTGTAGACTTGATCAGTGCTCGCCTCCCCAGAAGCTCTGGGGGGCAGGGGCAGGTCAGGAGAAAGTCTCTCCCCCTGCCTCACATAAGCCACCCATGAGGGTGCACAGCGCACCAACTTCAAGTGTGCCCGCATAGATGTGTTTGACTGTATGGAAGTGCGTGTGAACACATGGGTGTGCATGCATAGGAGGGAGTGTGTGTGCATTTGCGTGTGTGCATGTGCATGCATGTGTGATTGTGAATGGAGTGTACTATGTGTGTACATGTGTCCCAGCTCTGGCTTTGTGGCCGCCACCACCATCCACCGTCTCTCCCTCTCTCCCTCTCCTCTCCCTAGTCTCTCTCTCTCTCTCTCTCTCTCTCTCTCTCTCTCTCTCTCTCTCATACACACACACCTCCCAGGCTGTTCCCAGGGCAGAGGGCAGCATAGTGGCGCCCTCAGGCCATCACCTGATGTGCTTTGACAGTCCCTGAGGCCCTTCACATTTGCCTCAGATTGGCTCACTTTGTACAAGCAGCTTGCTGAGAACTGTGTTAGATATAGAAGGTCTGTGTTAGAGAAAAATTTTCTGATATGAACCGCGCTAGAGACATGTTGTATCTGATACGGATTGCATTAGAGACATGTTTTATCCGATATGAACCACATTAGAGTTGTTTTATCTGATACGGACTGCACTAGAGATATTTTCTCTGATACAGATTGCATTATCAATATTTCCCCATTTTCTCAACTAAGAGTCAACCATGACCCAGGGAGGTACCAAGGAGAGGCACAAATCCAACAAGTCTGGCTCAGCCGACCTCTGGGCTAAGAATCTACAGGACACTTTACAGACATAAAGGAGAGTGGGGTGGGGAGGGCTTGGTGGTTGGTGGCCTTGCAGGAGAACCTGGTGACTGGCCCTGCTGACCTGTCCTTCCCCATTCGTGTTCAAGCCCAGACACATCCCAGAATGTCCTCCAGAGTCAACTCATCTTACTACTTTTACTTTTTGGTGGGGTTAGGGGAACTTAGGTCACACCTGGCAGAGTTCTGGGCTTCCTTCTCATGCTGTGCTCAGTGATCTCTTCTGGTAGGGCTCAGGGCATTGAACCTGACAGTGGCTTGTGAGGCCAATGCCTACCCATTGTACTATCCTTCCAGTCCTCACCTTACCATTTCTTACCTGTTATAAACCCGTGGCTTTGCCTCGCTTACAAAATTAACACGAAGGTCTTTATCATTTTCGCCACAAACTAGGCCAATGCCAGAAGCCGGAAGCAGCAAACCCCACACGTCTCCCATTCCTGGCTCTTTCTTGTCTCCTCAAATATTTCTTACTTTCAAAAAGCTTAATTTGAATTTCCACTCAGGAAACACGCATGCTTTCCTACTGTAAATCTGTTGCCACTGGCAGTGCAGCCCTCAGAATAAGGCCTTCGGAGAGAAACATATTTTAGACCTTATAGTATTCCCACACCTTGTACCCTCAAATAGCTCACACGTTTCCTCCCATGGAGTCTGCGCTGAGAAGGGTTCCTGTTCAGGTTACCTGTCACTGGCTGGAGCTCACATCTCTTGGATATCAGATAAGGACTGGAATAATGTGAAGATCAGTTATAACAGAGTCTCCACGAGGCTTCCAGTTTCAAATATTACTTTACACGGTCTTTCACAAATCACAAAACCTTAGCTCGCAAAACTAGTAGTAACTTTTAAGGGCCAATGTTAAAAAAAGACAACTTGGTTGAGGAAATCTAAAATTGAGTTGAACTTTTTAAATTTTTTTTGTCTTTTTGGGTCACACCCAGCAATGCTCAGGGGTTACTCCTGGCTCTGCACTCAGGAATTACTCCTGGTAGTGCTCAGGGGACCATATGGGATGCTCGGAATCAAACTCGGGTCGGCCGTGTGGAAGGCAAGCGCCCTACCTGTTGTACTACCACTCCAGCCCAAGTTAAACGTTTAATTAACTAAAAGCTTTAAAATAATTGTAAAAGGTATTAGAGAGAAATAAAGATAAACTAAAAGCCACTTCAGTAGAACTGGAGATATTATGGAGAAGTTGGTTTTATTTATCAATGTAGTGATTAAAAATACTTTAAAAGAGGACTAACTTTTAAAAAGGAAGCAACGATTCAGAAAAAATATATAACCAAAGCAACGGATCAGGAAGGGCAAGGAGGGGCTCTGAGCGCCACTCCAGACCCCAGGCTACCAACAACAAAGTTCCAAATGACCTCAGCGCTGAGCACCCAAGTGGTGTTCCCCACATCACAGCTCATTCAGACGTCAGACACGTCTTCCTCCCTACTCCTTCCTTGGCTGGAGTGTTCCAAGGACGCTCGGATGAGGGGCTGCGACATGGGCACTGGAGTGTGTCCACTTGCGTCTCCACCATGCCAAGACTCCTGGAAGGATTTGGTGAAGCAGCGAGACCACGTGGGTCGGAGGAAGGGCTTTGGCGTGAGCGGGGATTCCTCCCAGTCACCTTTCCCAGACACGCATGTGGTCGGTATTTGACACTGTCCCTCTGCAAAGGCTTGCCCAGCCCTGCCTGCAGGGGCCACTGCTGCAGTTGTGGAAGCGCCCTTCTCCCGTTACCCCCCCATGGGCGCTCAGCCCTGGTTTTTGACCGCAGCAGCCCCCTGGCCAGACTCGAGGCTGGGTGCTACTCCTGCAACAGGCTGCGTGACACCAGCATCCTCATCACTTCGTTGCTACCTGCAAGAGGGAGAGAGCAGAGGGTTAAAAACACTATAGCCAGTCCCACGCTCTGGGAGGTGCTGGTGGGGCCAGTGTCACCTAAACCCAGCTCGGGACAAGACGGCGCAGGCGGAAAAGAGGCAGGAAGTGAGGGGGAACTTTATATTACAACAACAGCAACAAAGTCTCTTGGGCCAGAGCGATGGTACAGCATGAGGGTGCCTGCCTTACGCAGAACCGACCTGGGTTCACTCTCCAGCATCCCATGTGGTCCCCTGAGCATGGCCAGGAGAGACCCGAGTACAGAGCCAGGAGGAAACCCTGCATATTGCCGTATGTGTCCCCAAAACCAAAACCAAACACACACACACACACACACACACACACACACACACACACAAACAATGCCAAAATAATTAAAAACAAAAGTCTCTCTCAGGTGGCACCAGGTATGAAAATCTGATGGAGGGTATGAGAGTCTTTTATACACATAAAGCTATCAAGTTATAATCCTGAAATTCTATTTTAATCAATGATAAATCAATTTGAAAAAAGAAAAAGGAGCTGGAGCGATAGCACAGTGGGTAGGGCATTTGCCTTGCACGCGGCCGACCCAGGTTTGATTCCCAGCATCCCATATGGTCCCCCGAACACCACCAGGAGCAATTCCTGCGTGCAGAGCCAGGAGTAACCCCTGTGCATCACCAGGTGTGACCCCAAAAGAAAAACAAACAAACAAACAAACAAAAAACATCACCCCATTGGGAGTGAGTACAGAGGACAGGGCCACTTGCCTTGCACACCGTCAACCCAGGTTTGATCCCTGGCATCCCATGTGGTTCCTAAGCACTGCCAGGAGAGGTCCCAGAGTGCAGAGCCAGGAATACGCCTGAGCATCACATCACTGGAGTGTGGCTCAAAACACAAAAGACAAAAACCCTCCCATAAAAGCAGAGAAAAATACAAACCAGGATCAGGGAGCGGCTCAATGGGGGGGCTGCACAAACACTTCCTGTGCAGGAGGCTTGGTCCAGATTCGTGAGCACTGTCCAGGGACCCCTGGGCAGCGTCTGGAACAGTCCCTGAGCACTGCTGGGTGTGTGCCCCCACAAACAGAACAGTCAAATAAAAACAAACTGTCCTGGAGCCAGATCAACAGTACATCGGGTAGAGCCGACCTCGCATGCAGCCGACCCGGGTTCGACCCTGGCACTGTAAATGATCATCTGAACCCACCAGAAGCAAGCCCCGAGCACTTCCAGGTGTGGCATCCCACCCCACAAAAAAGATTGGTGGGGCCTGGAATCGCCCTATCCCTTTACACAAGGGCCATTTATCCCAATAAGGTTACAAGGCGGCATCAGCAGGAGGGAGGCTCCCTTGGCGAGCCTGCGGGATGAGGCCCACAGCAGGCAGGATGGACAGAGCAAGACGGGGGGGAACGAGTTTGCGGTAGGCAGCAGCTGCCTCCTCTGAGGCCCTTGCTGGTGACGGGCGCCAGAGCTCAGGCCCTGACAGAAACCAGGCTGGTGGGTTCAGGCATCTGCTGGCACCGACCCCTGACCTTGTGTGGTTCTGGAAGACTGTAAATGCCCTGCGGCTAGTGCTCTCAGACTCCACCTCTGTCCCGGGGCTCCTGCAGCACCCATGACCCCTGCACATCACTCAGGGAGCATTTCCAGCCCCGCCCCAGGGCTGTGCAGGGCACAAACTTCTGGGGGGTCTGTGAGAAGTGTGAGGAATACAGTCAATCTCAGGCTGTGGCCACGTTCCTGGCCTGCTGCCCACAGTGCCCACTGCCTGGCCAGACACTTACTCTGTAGGTGAATGACCCCGAGTCACGCCAAGGGAGATGGTTCCTCTGGATGTGCCTCCTGGGCTGCTGGCTTGTTTGTTTTGGGGTCATACCTGGCAGTGCTGTGCCGAGGAGTTACTCCTGGCTCTGTACTCAGGGCTCACTCCTGGAGAGTTTGGGGGATCCTTTTGGATGTCTGGGATTAAACCTAGGCCGGCCAATGCAAAGCAAGTGCCCTCCCCACTGTCTGAAGGCTCCAGCCCGCCACTTACCCCGAGCACCTCTGTCCTGAGGTTCTGGAACCTCTGAGGCCCGGGCTGCAGCAGCTGGGCCGGCCTGCGGGCTGGTACCACCGTTTCTAAGCAGTAAGAACTAATCACTGCTGTTTTTCCTTTTGATTCGGGGCTGCCTCTGGCAGTGCTCAGGGATCAGTTTGTGTTGTTCTCAGGAAACCATGGGGGCCCCGGGCCAGCTGCGTGCAGGGCACGCATCTCCCGGTGCCATCTCTTGGCCCAACTGCTGGTGTTACACACAGTGTTAAGGACACAAGGGCCCCGTCCTGGCTCATGGTCACCTCAGTGCTGGGCTGGAGGAGAAGCCGGGACTGACGGACAGAGCCTCACCTTCCAGGATCTGGTGGACTCTGGAGTCGCGCACGTACTGCTGGACAGCGTAGTCCTTCAGGTACCCGTAGCCCCCGTGCATCTGCAGGGCCTGGTTGCAGATCTGTGGGCGCAGCCACAAGGTCAGACCCGCGCTGGGTAGACCCAGCTGGCAGTTCTCCTCCAACCCCGCTCAGATCTGACCGGGGAAGCCCATCCCAGCAGGGCGTGGCTGTGCGCCTGGGGGGTCTGCTCCCCTCAGTCCACTGCATGGAGGGGGTGGGCCCAGTCTTTCCAGCTTCTCTCCAGCTGGGTGGGTGCAAGACAGAACCGTGCAGTTAGATTGCGCAGAGCCACGGCGCCACCTAGTGGTGCAGCAGCCTCAATGCGGGCTCATCGCTGCTGCCGGCACGCAGCCAGGGATGGAGCCGCAGACACCCAGCCAGCGTCTGAGAAGGGCTGTGAGGGCAGGTGCAGCGCGCCCCCTGGCGGACAGATGCGAGTACTGCAACCAGAGGGCGCCCGTGCAAAAGCACACGCGCGTGCCCGCCCAGCAGCAGCGTGCATATGTGAGCACCACACCCAAGAGGTGTGACCTGGGGATCACAACAGCTGAAGCGAAAGGGTCGGAGGACACGGGGGTCAGGTTCCCACGCAGGGCACTCTGAGTGTCCTGGTCCCAGGAGAGCCCTGCATCCACCTGAGCCGTGGTGGGGGACTTACAGTGAAGCATTCGTCTGTGGCAAAGAGCTTGGCCATGGAGCACAGGGCCACGGCATCCTCCCGGTCCTCCTGCAGCGCCACGGCCGCGTTGCGGATCATCAGTCTCGAGGCCACCAGCCGCGTGGCCATGTCAGCCAACTTGAACTGCAGGTACTGGGCGCCGGGAGGACAGGGGAGGTTTGTGGCAGCTGCACCGGCTCCACAGACTGGCAAAGGAGGGACCCGCTGCCGGGGTCACTCCTGGTGGTGCTGGGGGTCCAGGCAGTGCCTGGGGCTGTACCTGGAATCCCTGCACTCCGGCCTTTCCAGCTGTCTCCCTGCCCAGGAGGTCCCTTTCGTTCTTTCGGGATTTTTTTTGGGGGGGGGGGGGGGGCGGGTTGGAGGAGAGGCACATCCAGCAGTGCTCAGGGGTTACTCCTGGCTTTGCACTCAGGGATCACTTCTGGCAGTGCTCAGGGGATCATATGGGATGCCGGGGATGGAACCTGGGTCAGCTGTGTGCAAGGCAGGCACCCTGCCCGCAGCTGCACTACTTCTCTGAGGAGGCCCTATCCTAAGTGACCCACACCTCAGGTCTCCCGCCCCTTCTGCAGAAAGGGGATTCACTTGCCCTGCTGCCCTTTATCTCCTTAGCAGGCCGCTGGGGGGGAGGGGATGTGGGTTTTTTTTCTTTTTTTGCAGTAAAGCTGGATTTTGGTTCTTCCCTAGATCCCCTTAAGAGACAGAACATGGATGAAGACATGTGTCATGCATGTGGCCAGCCCGAATTTGATCCCCAGTACCTTAGCGGCCCGCCAGGAGTGATACCTGAGCAGAGAGCAAGGAGTAAGCCCTGAGCACTACTTGGTGTGGCCCCCAAATAAAACTAAACCAAAAGCTCTGCTCTTGCTGCCCCCCCCCCCCCTCGGGCCCCTTCCTGAGCCTGAGGGTTGAGTGGCCCAGCTCCATTGCCTGAGTATCATCATCAGTGGTTCCTGGGCCCTCTGGTTCTGCCTCCTGAGGCTGGGTGTCAGCTCACCGGCTGGGCTGGAGCCTTATCCAGCACGCAGCCCGGACTCTGGTCACTGAGCAGCAGGGGAGGCATCCTGGCCCTGGACATCCAGGAAGGACTGCTCAGGGGAACCACGGCTCTGGCCTGGTCAGACCAGGATGAGCCTCTCGGAGACTCGCTGCAAGCACAGAGACCCGGGTGCATACCTGGTTACTGGCCAGGGGCTCTCCAAATTGCTTGCGGATGTTGAGGTGGTCCCGGGTGAGGACGACGGATGCGTGGGCAGCCCCCAGGGAGCAGGATGCTGCAGGGGGAAGAGTCGCTGTTTCTGGGGAGCAGGACTGGGCCCCTGCCCCCACCCGCACCCCGTGCTCACCGACGTTGATCCGTCCCCCGTTCAGCCCCTTCATGGCGATGAGGAAGCCCTGGCCCTCACTCCCGATCCTGTTGGCTGCAGGCACCACGCAGTCTTCGAAGATCACGGCACGGGTGGGCTGTGAATTCCACCCCACCTGGCAAAGAGGGGGGCAGTGTGGGTGCCAGGCACCCCCGCCAGCAGCTATCCCCACAAGATGTCGGCGTAGACGGCTCGCTTAGAAATGTGCCTCCAGGGTACTGTGGGAGCCCTCGCATTGCCCACACTCGGCCCCTGTGGGTTCACTTTATCTGCACTGAATAGGGAGTGTCTCCCACATGGTACTCAGAGGCCCAGGGCCTCTCCTGGTGATTCCCAGCTGGCCTGGCCAATGCCTCAGCGTGAGGCTGGAGGATGCTAGGCTGCTTGTGCCCTGTGGTACCAGGGACCTGACCCAGGAGGACACGTGCAAGGTGACATGTGTCACCTTGGGGAACTTGGGGGCTGTGCTCAGGGATCGCTCCTGGCGGGCTCAGATCCCTGGGCCTCATCCCCTGTGCCACCTCTCGGTCCCAATCACTCACCTTCTTCTCCTTCTTGCCAAAGCTGAGGCCAGGGGTCCCCTTCTCGATGACGATGCATGAGATGCCCTTGGGGCCCGGTCCCCCAGTCCGACACATGACCACATAGGTGTCTGACTCGCCGCCTCCGCTGATGAAGGCCTGAGGGACAGGGAACGGGAACACCGGGCTCAGGCCTGGGGCCTAATGCCAGGAAGACCCAGCAGAGGGAGGAAGTTCCAAAAGTGACAGACCGACAGGACCAGTGGAGAGACGGCAATGAACAATGACACAGAAAGGGAAGAGCAGAGCCGGGCAAAGCGAAGGGGCAGTGGTCACTCCCCAACATGAGGCTGCCTGCAGCTGGGAGAGGCTCAGGGTCACGGGCTGGCCCCTGAGCACTGCCTGGTGCGGCCCCGGGGGCCCCCAGCTCCACTGGGCTCCGAAGTGCCCCCACCAGAGAGAAAACAAAAGGCCCCACCCAGCAGGAGCTCAGGGGTCACTCCAGCACTCAGGAACCACAGGCGGTGCCAGGGAGCAAACCAGGGTCAGCTGCGGGCAGGCAAAGGCCTCCCCCTCACTCCCTCTCTAGCCCCGTCCCAAATAAATGTCAGACCTGGTGGGGGAGGCCGGGGAGCGCACCACGGGCAGCACCTGCCTAGAAGGCCAACGGAGCTGCCTGCGGAGTCCAACTCTCGGCACCACACAGACCACAGCCAATGGGCTGCTGGCAGCACACACGCAGCAGGAGATGCCAGCACCCCAGCCCCACGCCCGGCCTGGGCCACACCAGCACAGCAGCTACAGCAACAGAGAGGGAGGGGGGAGGGGAGACGTGCACACGCCACGCACGCACAGTCCCCGCTGAAAATATTCCCCAGCTGTTGCAGGGGAAAGATTTCCTGGGACCTGGGAAATAGCCCAAAGTGCTCAGAAGAGGCTTTGCCCGGGGGAGGCCCGGGTGATCCGGCACTGCCCAGCACCCAGGGTGTGACCCCGGCACTGCCTGGCACCCCGCACAGTGAGCATCCAGACCCGCAACCAGGAGATGAAGGGGCAGTGCCTTCAGCACAGGAAGAACGGCAAGCCGGCACCTTGGAGCCGTTGAGAATGTAATGGTCTCCTTGCAGCTTAGCTGATGTCAGCAGTGAGGCGGCGTCACTCCCACTCCCTAGAGTGAATGGGAAAAGGTTGGCAGGGCTCAGGCGCCAGGCCCGCAGCCAGCCCAGAGCCTGTGGTGGGCACAAGGCTGGAGCCCTGAGACTCCCGGCACTTGCTGGCCAGGGCACCGGCAGCAGCCTCGGGTGAGCCTGTCTGCGAGGGGCCTCGGTCTGTGAACTCGCCCATGTGCCCTGTCCAAGCCCACCTCCGGCGGGGGCCCCCCCGGCACCAAACTGGGCCGCCTACGGACCCACCTGGCTCGGTGAGGCAGTAGGAAGCGAACTTCTCCATGGAGCAGAGCGGGGGGCAGAACTTCTTCCTCTGCTCCTCATTCCCGAAGGTGTCGATCATCCAGACACACATGCTAGAGAGAGAGCGAGAGAGCGTGAGACAGACAGACAGACAGAGACCGACACAGCGAGAGAGAAAGCAAGAGTGAGCAAGAGAGAGTGGGAAAGAGTTAAGGGAGAGAGAGAGAGCAAGGCAGAGAGAGTGCGGGAGAGCAAGAGAGCGAGAGAGAGGAGGAGAGAGAGAGCGTGGGAGAGGGAGAGAGGGCTGGAGGGGTAATACAGTGGGTAGGGCGTTTGCCTTGCACGAGGCCGACCCAGGTTCGATTCCCAGCATCCCGTATGTTCCCCCGAGCACCACCAGGAGTAATTCCTGAGTGCAGAGCCAGGAGTAATTCCTGCGGCTGGGAGAGGCTCAGGGTCACGGGTTGGCCCCTGAGCACTGCCTGGTGCGGCCCTGTGCATTGCCGGGTGTGACCCACAAAGAAAAAGAAGAGAGGGAATAGGGGAGAGAGACCAAGAGAGGGAGAGAGCGAGAGAGCGGAGAGAGTGAGGGGTGCAGGACAGGCACGGCAGAGGCCAGCACTGTCCCCCTGGGGACAGTGACCAGTGGGGCTGTGTCACGCCCGCACTGTCCGGACTCTTCTCCTTAGGGGAAGGTGCTGCCCTCCAGCCCCACGGTCTCACTTTCCCAAATGACTGCAGGCTCCACTGGGGTGAGGCTGAGGCGCAGTGGCCTGGCCCCTCCACTGGACAGGCCCGATCGGGGAGCCAAGAGGAAGTCACACACCAGCTTCAGGCCCGCCAGCGGTGACGGGTCTGCTGCAGACCCTGCTGCTGGCTGCTCGGGAGCGCGAGGAGCCGCATCTGTGCCCGCAGCCCCTCCCGGCCGCCCCATGCCCTGCGCTTACTTGTGGATGCTGATGTAGGCGGTGGTGCTGGTGCAGCCCGTAGCCAAGGCTTCGAAGATGACTGAGGCGTCCAGCCGGGACAGTCCAGAGCCCCCCACATCCGTGCGGACGTAGACGCCCCCGAAGCCCAGCTGCGCTGCCTTCCGCATCACCTCCACGGGGAACAGCTCCTGGGAGCGGAGAAGAGCGGGTCACGCATGCAGGCCAGGGGACCAGGACTGGCATAGGGGATCTTCACAGGCCCGTCTGTCACCCCTCGGCGCTGGCCATCACCACGTTTGCTCTAAGGACTGACTTTCTAGCATGGAATAGCATGGAAGTTTCTTTTCACATCCGTAGAACCACCCTGGTTCTAAACTTGTCTGAATCTTTGTGCGATTAAGAAAGAAAAAAAAAGTCACAAGATGATGAAGATGCTTCCCAGGAGACCGCGCCCAACAGCATGGCTGCTGGAGAACGTGGACCCCGCCAGGACCAGGAGCTACAGACAAAGGTGGGCCCAGCCAGGACGTGAACGCCTACCTTCTGGTCCCATTCTGCCATATTTGGCGCCATCTCCCGGGCAGCAAAGTCAAAGGCCACTTTCTGAAATTCTTTCTGCTCCTCATTTAGTCCCATGGAAGCTGTGAGCCAAGACGGCACATATTCAGTTCCGGGTCAGGGGTCGGTGGGAGGAGGGCAGAGAAGCATCTGGAAGCAGGACAGGAGGTCTAGAGGGGGAAGTCCCCTTCTCAGACAGTGTCACCCAGCAGGACTCAATTGCTCAGGCCTTTTCCTTCCTGCTGTGCTCCCCAGTGAACTGGCTCCACTTAGACCCTCATCACTCCCTCAGTCCTCAATACTCTCCTCTCTGGCTTCCTCTCACACCCACACTGCAGGTTATTCAACATACACCATCCCTCGAGTTAGTTTTCCCTCTAGATGTCTTCCTTCCTTCTCTGTTCTGGAACTGTGTCCCCATTCCATGTCTGCTACATCTGCATCAACAAAACTTTCCCTTTTCTCTTTTTTTCTTTTCTTTTTGGGTCACACCTGGTGATGCACAGGGGTTACTCCTGGCTTTGCACTCAGGAATTACTCCTGGCAGTGCTCGGGGGACCATTGGTATGCTGGAAATCAAACCCGGATCAGTCACATTTGTTTGTTTTGAGGCCACAGCCAGCGATGCTCAAAGGTTCCTCCTGGCTGTGCACTCAGAAATTACTCTTGGCAATGCTGGGGATCAAACCTGGGTCAGCCCATGCAAGGCAAACGCCCTAACCACTGTGCTATCACTCCAGCCCCAACAAATCATTTTTAAAAGATCGGCTAGGAGAGACTCGTGGGCAGCCTTGGCAAAGCTGCCGGATGAAGAAAAGGCCGCTCTCAGGCAAGCCCTGATTACACGGCTGCTGTTTTCTTCCAGGGAGCTCGGAACTCTCAGCACATTCTCTGTTCTGATCAGCGTTGTGCCTTGGGGCTTGGTCCTTAAGGTCTAAGATACTGAAAAGCAAAGGACCATAAAACAGACCTACAAATACAACAGGCTGGAGCAGTAGTATAGCGTGTAGGGCACTTGCCTTGCATGGGCTGACCCAGGTTTGATCCCCAGCATCGCCAGGAGTAATTTCTGAGTGCACAGCCAGGAGGAACCCTTGAGCATCACTGGCTGTGGCCTCAAAACAAACAACAACGACAGAAACAACAAAACCCAAAACCCAAAAAATAACAGGCAGGTGGTAGAAGGTGGAGACCCACTGGGACAAAGAAGTCTGCCGGGAACCCCCAGCGGCTGTCAGAGGACACTGCACGGCACCGTGAGGAGGGGCTGTAGGGAAGCCCATCCCCACACAAACCAACGGTTCCCAGCACATGAACATTTTGCTTTTCCAACATCCTTGTTCTCCCAGCTGACTTCAACGAAAGATCTCTATTAGCAGTGGCTTCTGGTAACAGAAAAAGCCTCTTACAAGAAAAGGCGAAAAGGGAAACTGGAGCTCAGAGCTTTAGAGCCAACAGCACCTCAGAAAGGAGTGTGGCCCCCATCTCCTTCCCAAGGGCTGCGTTCTGCAGGGTGGCCGCCACTGTGTGTCGTGGGATTTCAGGTTTTACAAGCTACTGTTTTTTGTATATTTTTTTTTGGGGGGGGGGGGGCTAAAATGCTGCATATAAACTAAGGATCACTGTCACTTAAAGTAACTTCTTGATTCTGGAATGGTCTTGCAAGATTGCTCTGCTTGGGGCTGAAGCAATAGCACAGCGGATAAGGTGATTGCCTTGCCGACCTGGGTTTGATTCCCAGCATCCCATATGGTCCCCCGAGTACCTTGCAGCATTCAAATCCTGGTCACACTGGGTTGCAGCCCAGGAGTTCTGCAGGAAGACTATGGACAAGACTCACTGGGAAATTTGCTGGAGCGGGCAGCCCTGTGCTTTCCTGGGCGGGCACAGGCACGAGTCGGGGTCCTGTATGAGCTGAAGGAAGCCCGGCCTGCTCCAGGCCTCACCTGAAAGTGGGAAGCCAGGGAACGAGAGAAACACAGTATAGCAGGTAAGGTACCGCATGTGGTCACTCCAGAGCAGGGGTCACTCCTGGGTCAGGAATAACATCCTAAGCACTTTGGCTGTAGCCCAACTCTCAGCCCTTCCAAAAAGGGAAACTGAGGCAGATATGCAAGCAAGGGCCTTGGGTTTGATGAGCAGGATCATACAGTCCCCTGGTGTTGCAGGGAGCGAACCCTGAGCACCAAGTTGGAAGGCATTCTCAAGTCCTGTACTCACCCTGCCCTTCACCCCTAACTCCCCCAATAAGCCAAAAACAACCGAGGAAACTCAGAAGGAACATGTGGGAGGAGGATTAAAGACCAGGTTGGCCTGACCTGGCTTCATGGGGTCATAGGAGCCAGGATTGGGTTGGGTTGTCTGTAAAAATGCTCCTAGAGATCACAGCCCAGAGTTCACTCACAAAAGCATATTTATTGAGTATCTACCATGAAGCTAGGCTGAGGTTACAAAGATGAACATGGTCCATGCACACAGGATGAAATCAATATCCAGAAGAGTGACAGAATTTCAGTGCCAGCAGAAGCTAGGTAAGTGTTAACAGTTGCTATCATTCTTAGTTGACAGAGGAGATGTCAGCTTCTTGCTTAACTTCTTAAAACAAGTAGTCAGGGGCTGGAGCAATAGCACAGCGGGTAGGGCGTTTGCCTTGCATGCAGCCGACCCGGGTTTGATTCCCAGCATCCCACATGGTCCCCTGAGCACCGCCAGGGGTAATTCCTGCGTGCAGAGCCAGGAGTAAACCCTGTGCATCTCCAGGTGTGACCCAAAAAGAAAAAACAAAAACAAATAAAACAAGTAGTTAAAGAAACAAGAGGTTGATCACACAAGCCGAAACTGTATCTTTATAATAGGGAACAGCTGCACGCAAGTTACATAAAGGTAAATACAATGTGGTTACAAATCTTAAAGAGAGAGACTCAGTCCATCTTAGAGAAGGGGAACTCACATAGAGCGGTGCTGGAGAGAAAAGAACTGGTAAAGAGGAGTTAGGGAAGGCACACCCACAGCTAAGTAAGATTACTGACATTCTCCTTACATACATTCTAGCAACAGAACAGAAGCAGGGATTCCAGAAGCCAACAGCCACACTGAATTAGCCCAGGTAATAGAAACGGGGTGCAAAGGCGAGGAGGTGCCTGTAGAAAGATCCAAGAGTGTGCAAGAGGTCAAAGATAAAAACCCGAGGCCCTGAAGAACAAGAATGTTTTAATGTGTCCAAAGCGGATCCCTCCCTGGAGAACTAACAAACAGATGGAGAACCACCGAGAGCTTGAGTGCTGGAGAACGCTAGGATGGCTTTGGAGTTCTGATAGTTCTTGTCTGTACTGGGGGGAAGGGGGTCTTGCAAAGGAGGGGTGAACCCACCCGGGAGTGCTCGGGGGTCCATGTGGTGCCTTCCCAGCTGGTGCAGCTCTCGGGAAGTCGGGGCGCTCTATGGGAACCGGTCTGCGTTATTCCCTTGTTTAAAACGGGGGTCCCACTAGAGAGCGAGTAAATTCCTGGTCTGGGTGGCAGGAGGGAGGTGGGGCGAGACGGCGCAGCAGAGACCCAGGGCACCGAGGGTCAGCGCTGCGGGGGGCAGCCGCTGAGCCCCGCCCGGGTCGAGAGCGGACACGCAAAACGCGGGGACGAGGTGGGCAGCCAGGCGGACGCGAGGGGTGACAGCCCGGTGCGGGGGGGGGGGGGGCGCGAGCGCACGAGGGCAGCCAGCCAAGGAGGTGGAGCCGGGGTGGGGGTCGGCCGTCCGCGGCTGCAGAGGCCGAAGCCCCCCGCCCGGCGCCGGGACCCCTGCACCTTCAGGGTGAGCCTTACGGTCGATGCAGGAGACCAGGCAGCGGCGGGTGCTCCCCGGCCGGGCGGGGCCGAATCCGCGCAGGAGGCAGAGGCGCGTCCCGAGGCGCGCGCACCCACTCAGCAACATGTTCGCTCGGTACCGCCGGCGCCGCAAGCCCTTGACCTCGGCCCGCGGGGTCTTAAGCGCCGCCCCGCGCTGCACCCTGGGAGCTGTAGTCCTCTCGCCCCGCGCGGAGCCCTGGGGGTTGTAGTCCCTCCGCCCCGCGCTGCTCCCTGGGAAATGTAGTTCTTTTGACGAGGCTCGCACCGGGACCCGGGCGAGCTTTGCGGCACTGAGAACTACAACACCCAGAGATCCCTGAGACTAGAGCCCAGCGCCCGGGAGATACGTGCGACCTCGAGCGGGAATGCGCTGCTCAGACCCCCGGCACTTTGGAGGGTGGCTGGGGTCTTGCGAGCCGCATGGTGGGGCCTGTGCCGTGAAACGACTGAATGGATGAGAAGGACCCAGGGAAACAGACAGGGAGAGTTTGACGGCCAGGTTGTGCGAAGTGGAACGGGGAACGCAGATAAGCGGGGGGAGGTTTTGAGGGGCTGCAGCCCAGGACCCTCCGCGCCGCCAGACTCCGCACCCTCCAGTCTCCGACTGGCTCCGCGCAGTTTCCTGGAGGGAGTTGGAGGCTGCCTCCCGGACCTCTCGCCCGATTCCAGAGCCGACCCTGCGGGGATACCATGCCGAGACCCCAGAAGAGGCCGGCGGGGGCCGCGGGGCCAGGTGAGCTGCGCCTGGTCCGCAGAGGGCTCAGGCCCTCCCCCTGCGCACTACTCCTTTGAACCGTGCCCGGCGTCTCCTTACTCTTTCGTCCTCTTTCCTTGTTCGATACAGATAGGTGAGAAGGAAAACAAACGAAAAAACGCGCTGAGGTTAAGAACACGTGGTTCCTGATCTTTGAAAACATGCAAACAAAACTAGATGAAAGGCGCCTGTAACCGGGGCTGCTGCCCGAGAATGTGTTGTTTGAGTTACCCAGGCCGCAAAATCAGATGCACTTCCTCCACTCCTGAACAGGAAGAGCAGGAACTGAGCAAGAGTGCTCTTGGAGACAAGGTGCCCACAGGGATCCCAGGGGACACCAGGAACCGAAGCCAGGTTCGGAGAGGTAGACCATAGCCGGCGGATATTTAATAACCTCTGATAAGGCAGCTGGGGCTTTAAATCATAAGCCATGCAGGGCTGGAGAGATACGACAATGGGGAAGGTGCTTGCCTTCAGGGTGTGATCCCCGGCACTGCTTATGGTCCCCCAAAGCCCTCCAGGAGTAATCCCTGAGCACAGAGTCAGGACTGTGCCCACCACCCAAAAAAGTCAAAAACAAAGTGTTGGGACCAACCCGGGTGAGCAAGTCTGAAGCAGGGATGCCGTGAGGATTAAGAAAGGGCACAGAAATCAAAGCATGGGGTTAGAGGGCTCACAGTCTCACAGACTGAGACCCTAGCCTTCCTCCACTTCCGAAATTTATTGCTTAGAACCAGTCATCAGAAGAATAACATTTTTCAGCCAAATGTGTCTCTTAATCTATCCAGGCCAGACTTTTAACACATCTGATAGGACAAACATCTTTGTAACAGCCTTTCTCTAGGGCAGTTTCTTCCTGAGAGGGAGCAGATAGAGCAGATACATGACCCTGCCTGGCAGCATCCTGTCTCAGGTGACAGCATTTTGCATTTAAAAGTTCCATGAACTACCTGTCCTGACTCCTTATCTAACTTAGTCCTCAGCCAAAGCAGTTGCAGCTTATTCCTGAAATGTGGCATCAGATACAACAGTGGCAGGTGATTCTGCTGTTCACTTGTAGTCACCAGGGTCTGTGCCAGGGAGGAGGACATGTCCTAGGTCACCAGCTTCATTGAGTTCCATTAGGGTGAGACATAGAGTTTCAGGTATTAAAAAAAAAAAATAGGGGCTAGCGTGATAATACAGTGGGTCCAGTTCTCTAGAATAAAATCTAGGTTATAAACTCAAGATTATACAGTCCAGAGCTTTTGTCCTTAACTTGTCTTGGCACATTTAAGGAGCAGAAAGGAGGAGGAGCCTGCAAAGCACATGTGCAAAGGTAAAGACAGCGACGGTGCTATCAGCATATGTCACAGTGCCAGGCACTGCCTAAACCCTTTGCCATATCTCTTTGGTTTGGGGCCACACCCAGCAGTGCTCAGGGATTACTCCTGGCAGTGCTCAGGGGACCCTGTTGGGGCGCCAGGGATTGAATCTGGGTTGACTGCATGCCAGCCAACTATCTTACCTGCTATGCTCTTGTTCCAGCCCCTCTTTGCCCTATTTTACTGTGCCTTGGAAAGAAGTCCAAGAAGGTGCTCAATTGCCTCACCAGGGAGAATCACCTCAGGCCCAGGAGAGAAACAAAAAAAAAAAAAATTGGCTGTTTGTAGGCCGTTCTGCTGGGCCCCTGAGCCCTGAGTACGACCACGGAGGGTATTCCTGTCTGCAGGGGCTAAGCCAGATGACCTGTAGGATGGTGTTCTTGACCCAGTCTCTTTGCCAAGAAACACCTTCTGCAACTTGGGGTGCTGGGGGTGAAGGGCAAGGGTGGGGCATGGCCAGGGTTCGAATCCGGGCCTGACTCCAAGCCAACGCTCCTGCTCAGCAGCAGGCACCCCCACTCACTCCTGGCTTCTTTTTGCAGACAAGAAGGGGAAGCGTGTCAGGACGGCGCGGGCTGGGGAGGCAGCAGCGCAGACAAGGAGCTCTGGCCCTGCGGACACAGTGGCGTCCAGCCCCCGGGAGAAGAGCCTAGGCAGCTTCTGGCTGATGAAGTCGGAGCCCGAGAGCCGGCTGGAGAAAGGCGTAGATGTGAAGGTGGGGTGCAGGAGAATATGCGCTCTTTGGGGTTCTTTCTCCGCCGGGATTCATCGGGGAGGAGGCCTTTGGGCCATACCCCACAGTGCTCAGGGCTCTTCCTAGTGACCTTGTCGGTGCTGGGGAAACCATATTTGGTGCTGGGGATTCAGTTTGGGGTCAGCTGTGTGCTGCAGGGAGAGCAAGCACCTTAACTAGCAACTCCTTCTGGCCCCCTGCCTGGTCTTGGAGGGGCAGAAAGTGCGTAAGTGGGCGAGGGTCGAGTGATGTTTTGTCGCTCACCTGTTTGGTGAGTCCTCCATCGAAGGCCGTTTTCTAGAAAGGCTGGGGACAGTGCCATAGTTATTCTTGTAACTGGGCTGTCATAGCAAAAAAGTGGCGACAAGAAAACATGAGCAGGGGCCAGAGCCCTGATACAACAGGTAGGATTTGCCTTTTACGCAGCCCACCCAGTTCAGTCCCTGGCACCACAGATAGTCCCCAAGGACCACCAAGAATAATTCCTGAGTGCAGAACCAGGTGCATCATCAAAACAAAAGCAAAGGAAGAAAGAAAAAATTGTGAGCTAATGGCGTGGCTGTGTTCTAGTAAAAGCTGATTTACCTGGCCTGGACCAGGAACCTGTGCTCTTGCCACATCCATGCTGACAGGTCCCTGCTAATAGGTGGCATATTCTAAGGGATTGTAGGACGCCCTTCAAGGAATTAACCTTGATAATAACCCAGAAAAAAATGCAACTCGAAATACATTTTAGTCAAATGCAAACAGCCAGATTAATTTATCCGAGGCTTCAGTCATCTGGATGATCCGTTTCACAGACCCTCTCATTAGCAGATGAGTTACGTGCAGACTCCTTCCCTCCAGCTGATGGGTTGCTCTGGGGCTGTGTTCAGTGCTTGGCTTCCTCCCCCTGCTGTCAGTAGCGCCCCATGGGGGCAGAGCTCCCCACCGTCATGTGCTCTGCTTAGAGGGCGCAGGTGTGCCAATGACTGTTTCCTGCCGCCTCTTAGTTCAGCATCGAGGATCTCCAAGCAGAGCCTGGGCAGACAGCGTGCTGGGATGGCGTCCGCAACTACCAGGTAAGGGCGGGCCCAGGTGCTCTGTGGGTTTGGGGACGCTTCCTTCCTGTGGGCGAGATGGATGCAGAAACTCCCCCAGGCCAGTTCTGTGCTCTATCAGAACCCACACTTGACATGTGCTTACACTATCACTAATTTACTGTGTCTTCGTCCAATTCACAAAGGACATGTGTTCTGGCCAGTGCAGTGCCCTGGGACAAGCCTGAGTATCTTGTCAAAGACGAGAACTAAATGGAAGGTTGGGGGTGGGGAGGGGTGTAAAGAGAAGAGAAAAAACGTGTATAGGGTCAGAGACACAGTGAAAGTGTTATGACACTTCCCTTGCATTTAGCCAACCCGATTTCAACCCCCAGCGCCACACAGGGCCCCCTGAGTATCACTGGGTTCCACCCTGCAGGCCCTTCTGAACTCCACTGAGGTGGTCTGGGGAATCCCAAGAAGTTCCTAACACCACCGCATCCTTGGGCTCTGGCATCAGACTTGTGGCCTGCCGAGCTGAATTTGTCAGGAGGCTGCCCTCCCTTCCCGAGCCTCCTACAAACTCATCTTTCCAAAGCACACTCAGCTTCTGTGAGAAGTGTGCGTTTTCCACTCGGTGGGGAGGCTGATTCTTGCTGCTTCTCCCTTGCGTCAGGCCCGGAACTTCCTCAGAGCCATGAAGCTGGGGGAAAAGGCCTTCTTCTACCACAGCAACTGCAAAGAACCAGGAATCGCGGGCTTGATGAAGGTGAGCTGGGAGCCTCCGAGGCTCCCTCTCCTGGACACTCGCTTCTGTGGCCAAAGGGGTTCAGCGTGAATCATGAATAAAGAGGATGTGCTTCGGGAATGAAGCAAGACCACTCGGGGACCCTCCCGGGCCCAATGTAAGCTCCTCTGAGCCCAGAGTTCAACAGGAACAAAGGAATGGACTCTGGCAGCAGGAGGCGGCCATGTCTACAAGGAGTATTGCTAAGTTTGTGTTTGGCTGGGGAATGAATGTGCTTTGGAAACTTGGTCAGGACGGGAGTCCAGTCCTGTACTTGCCCAATATGGGCAGTTATGTCCACTGTCAGTGCCCTCACCAGCATCCCTGCTTGGCTGTGGGCCAAGAGTGCGTGGGCCACAAAATGTGTGCCTGCCCTGGATCCCAGGCGGTGTGTCAGAGTGCTGGTGTCTTGCCTTTGGTTTCAGATTGTGAAGGAGGCTTATCCAGACCACACCCAGTTTGAGAAAAGCAGCCCCCACTACGATCCCTCCAGCAGAGATGATGACCCCAAATGGTCCATGGTACAGAGGCTGGTTTGCCCTTTTGGAGGAGGGGGAGGATGTAGGAAGGGACGTTGATCTGGGGTGTTGTGAAGAAGCTCCTACACTTGGGAGACAAGCAGGACTTGGTGGCAACCGCCCTGGGGAACACCCTGCAGGTGGCAAGGACACAGCGGCATGACAAGGCTGGGCCTGTCATCCTGTCCCATCTCCTGCCATTCCCCCAGGTAGATGTACAGTTTGTTCGGCTGATGAGACGTTTCATTCCCCTGGCTGAGCTCAAGATCCATCACCAGGCCCACAAAGCCAACGGGGGGCCCTTAAGTAACATGGCCCTCTTCACCCGCCAGAGACTCTCCGTTCAGCCCCTGACCCCAGGTAAGGCGGGCACAATTGTGTCACCACACCACAGGATGACTCAGGGCCTTACCTCTGCTCTTTAGCCCCAGGTACCACTGGGAACTAGTTGTACTCCCTGGAGCATCCGTGAGAAAGCTCCTAGGCCCGTGTGTTTGCAGGCCCCATGCCCAGCCCCCACTGAGTGATGGGGTACTGCGCCTGACTTCCTGTTTGGGCAGGGGGCCAAGACCTAATTATTCTCCCCTTTCCTCCATTTTGGTAGAAGAGTTTGATTTTATTTTGAGCCTGGAGGAACAGGAGCCGAGTTAGTGAAGAGACAGCCTGCTTGAAACAGCCTGCCGGACTAGGCCAGACTGCACCCCCCGAGAATCCTGGCGCCCACTTCCCCCTCCCCCCCCCCCCCCAAGAAGATGGGCAAAGCCTGGTCCTGCACTGCTGCCTGCAGGGAATGAGGCTTTCGTCAACATTCCCCTAATAAAACATCCCTCTCTGAGGCTGGAGAGCTTCTCTTAACTCGGCTGTATGGGCAGGACCCCTTCTGCCCTACAGATTGATTGTTAACACCCACACAAAGCCCACCACGCCTGGACCCAACGGTCTTAGCTGCTCCCACGCCTCCCCATGCCCCCTGTTGCTTCTTAGGGGTCACGCCCACAGAGTGGGCCATGCAAGTCAAGTGCCTCCCTATGCACCCGTCCCTTCAGCTCTGGGGACCTCCCGGTGCCAGGCTGGTCCACACTGTGCAGAGAAGACCCTGGCACACCAGAGCAGGCCCATGGAGCAAGAGCAGACCCTGTGCTGGGTTGGGAGGACTCTGCCAGGTGTGTGAGGTGGCACAGAATAGGGCAGACACAACCACAGACCCCCCAGGACAACAGACACAAAGCCTCCAAGTCACGAGCTTCCTTTAATCAGAGACAAGTGAAACAACGGCTCCTTTTTGTTTTTTTTTTAAATACAGCCATTGGAAAGACAACACATTAGGAAACATGTAAACAGGGCAGCTGCTTGGCCTGGGGCCTGGAACCCGGGACCGGCGCTCCCCACTTCCACACTGACCAGGACCAGAGGAGGAGAGAGTCGAAGACCTGGCCGGGTGCAGCTCGTGACGGGACAGAGGGTCAGGGAATGAGTTGTCAGTTGGGGGAAGTGGGACGGGCAGCCACCTGCTTCTGCTTAGCAGTCCTGCGGGTGGGGGTAGGACCCTCAGCCCAGCTCATGCGCACAAAAGGCCAAGAACAGAGAACCTGCCTCCCGGGCATCTGTGTGCTGCTGGCAGGGGCCCGGGCCAGCTGATGTGGACCTGCTCCACAACAAGGGGAAGGGGGTCCGAGGGAGGGCAAAGCCCTGGGGCTGGACCTTTGCCACTCTTTCACACAGACCATTTGACAGCCCGTGGGAGGGCAGCCCCGCGAGAGAATGATTCCTGGTCCTTCACAGTCAAGTGGCCAGGATGCCAACACCCTGACTGCTGGGCCCAAGTGGGCCCCAGGCACATGTGTGGACCTCTGGTTTCCATCTCTGTCCTAGCAGACGCTGGGGCTCGGCAAGGTGTTCTGTGGGGACCTGCGGTGTCCCAAGGCCCCCAATACCCTCCTTATCTTGGCAGCGTTGCCCAGTCTTAAATCAAGCCCTGGCTCCCAGGGAGTCCGCGGAGACCAGGGAGGGAGCAGGACGGACACCAGGAAGCCAAGTGACCCCAGGTCCCAGCACCGGCTCCACTTGTCCCACCTGGTGGCTGGAGAGTGTGTGATGTGACACTGTCCCTGATCACCCAGTACCCAGACGTGCTCATGGGGCCAGGGACAATCAGCCCGGGGCCCTCGCACGTCACGTCTCTCCGGGTCATCACTCAGGAGCCGGAGGCCGAGGCTGGAGGCAGCTGGAAGGCCTCGGAGCACTGTGCTCGAGGCTCCCCGGAGGTAGCTTCCCGACCGCGACTCTCCCATCGCCCGTCGGCAGGGCAGGCCTACCGAGGTGGCGAGGACCAGCACAGCCCAATCCTGCAGCAGGAAGCTCAGGGGCCGAGGACGCCTGTTCTGCTCCCTGAGGAGCCGGGAGGGAGCCCCCGGGGAAGACCCTCTCAGAGACCATCTTCCGGGATTCTCCCTCTCCAGGGCCCCTCCGTTCTCCAGAGAAAAGAATTGACGGCAAAAACATGATTTGTTTTCAGGTTCAAGTGACCGGCCCCCTAGCCCAGGCCGCTGGTGCTTGGCAGACGATGGGGTGCTGGGCCCAGAGGGGCCTACTGCCTGCTGTTGGCGTCGGGCAGCTGCCCGGGGGTCCGCACCTCGCCCAGGGAGCTCGTGCCCTCGAAGCGCTGGGAGGCGATGGCCGCCTGGTGGGACATGCTCTTCCGAACGATGTCCCCCTTCCGCCATAACACCACTTCCTGTGGAGGGAGAGACGTAGGCTAGGGACTCTGGGGCACTGGGAATCAGAGGACAGAATGGGGGCCAGGGTCAGGCCCGTGGAAGCCAACTTGGGGTGCCAAGTGCAAAGCCCCACACGCTTCACTTGGCAGTGGGCAACAAAGAGTCTCACTTCCTGCTGACCCCAGAGATAGGACCCTGCAGGGTCCTGTGCGTCCCACCGGAAGTGCCCGTCCGCGGGAATCGCCCCTCTCTCGGGTGCCTCACCTGCTGCTTGAAGTAGCGCCGCTCCTCCTCGTCGATCAGCACCAGGTTGAGGTAGTAGCGCACCGAGAACTTCTTGTTGATGTCCCGCATGGTGGGAGTGAGCTCGTAGCCCGCCAGGAAGAGCCGGATGGGGATAGACTCACCTGTGAACACCAGGGGGGATCAGTGTGCCCCCACCACGGGAGCCCGGCCGCTCCCACTTGCACCCCGGCCCCCAGGCTGTGCCATGCCTGTGGCAGTGGCACCATGCACAGCTGACAGGGAATCCAGCAAAGTTTATGGCAGCACCTGTGACCCGGTGAGCGGCTGTGGGTGGAACATCCTATTTCCTCCCTGCCCTGGGTGCAGCTGGCCCGAGAAACGACTCTGTTACAACAGGCCCGACCAAGGATGAGCGAGGCGCCCAGAGCCAATGCTCAAGCCCCGTCTGGTCACCAGGGCACCCCGCCTGGTGCAGTGTAGAGCCACCCCAGGCATCCCGGCCAGAAGGTGGGGTGACGGGGCGGGACAGCAGGACAGCGGGACAGTCTGCAGAGCAGGGCCTGCGGGCAGAGTCCACTCCCCAGCATCCCATGTTTCCTTGGGGGGACGCAGGGGAGACTGGCACTGGTGACCTCTCAGCTCCTCTCAGTGCGACAGCAAACCAGGGCAGTAACTCTGCAGAGACAGGCCGAACTAGAACATCGTTCAAGGGCAGCTAAATATACACAGCTTTGCACATGCTTCTGCAGACCCCGCTCTCAGGAGCAAGAGGGAGGCGGCGAGGCCATGGCCAGCTCTAGGCTTGAAGGTAACTGGGGAGAGGGAATGCAAACTCCTCCACAGGCCTGCTCAGGCCTGACCTGCTGCTGTCATCAGGTCTGGGCGACCGAGGGGCGGGGCCAACGGTGGGAATCAGGTGAAGCCCTGATGCGGCAAACAGCTCTGTGTCCTCCCTGCAGCATCGGGATCCCTGAGCGGGCGAGACCGCACCCCCGACGCCCCCGCCTCCAACTCCCTCCCTGGCCTCGTGCGGTCAGCTCCCTCAGAGGGGCACTCCGGGGGGACATTTCCATCCAGTCCCAGGGCTCTCCAGGACCTGGTGTCACTGGCCTGTACTTGGTGAGCGAGTGCAGAGAAGGGGCCGTGAGAGCAGTGCTGGAACAAGGATAGAGCACTGCGGCCAGGGAGAGTGGGGATCAGCAAGTGTCTGCCTGGGGTGCCGCGTGAATGCTCTTCCTTTCCTGGTGTTTTGTTTTTTAAGTTTTTTCACTTTTCGGCTTCAGGCCATGCTGGTGGTGCCAGGACCATCTGCCGGATCGGGCCAGGCTCCTGCAAGCGCACTGCTCCAGCACCCCAAGCCTGCCCCATGGCCTAAGTCACACTGATTCAAGAAAACCACTTGAGGGTCCCTCAGCGCCACGAGGAAACCCCCAAGCCACAGACCAGGCACGGCCTCTGGGCACTGCCCAGTGTGTCCCCCCCACTCCCCCAAAGAAGCAAAGTGACGGTGTGGTTCCAGACTGACTCTAAGACACACACAATCTACAACCTGGGAGGGACCCTACACTTCAGCCCCCCCTGAACCCCACCCTGCCGTGCACCCTCAGAACCCAGAGCAAACCTGGGGGAGGCAGGGGGAGGGAGCCAGTGGAGGGGAGGTGGGGATGGGGAGAAGCAGCGGGAGGAGGGGTGGGAAAGCTCACCTCGCACGGGCGCCCCGTCCATGATCTCGTACTTGGCTATAGTGTCATTCTCGTGGTACACATTGGGGCCAGTGCCCGTGGTCTCCCGCTTGATGATGTCAATCTCCATGTGCTTGATTTTGATTCTCACCAGCAGGAAGTAGATCTTCCCCACAATGACGTCCTTCAAGTGGTATCTGGAGACGCGGGGCAGAGGGGATGCGGTGTGGGGAGGGCCGGCCCTGGGGCCCGCGATCAGGCTGTCCTGGTTTGTGGCTCAGGTGCACCATGCTGGCTGACGAGAGGCTGCTGGTGTGTCACACTCCCTGCCCCACACTGCAGCTGTGGCCCCACGGGAGCCCCATCCTGTCCCCCTGCCCTGCCCATCCCCCATTCTTTGTGCCCCTTGCATCCCTTGGGCTCCTGTGCACCGCTGGCCCCTTGACACCTCCTTCCGGTGCGCGTGTGGTCCATGTGCGAGGCTGGCGGCTGGCCCCCGAGTGCACCACTCAGACTGGGCCTCAAGGCCAGGCAGGACAGCAGAGAAGGTTCCGCAGGGGGTCTCGCAGGTTGCTCGCAGGGTCAGTGCTTCCTCACCCGCTCCCCACTCCCCAAGCTCCTCTCTGACAGTGGGCTGCACAGGCTCTGTGTGGGAGTATATGTACATGTGTGAATGTCTGTGTGCGACAACCCCCAGGTCAAGTGTGCGTAGCTCTGATCCCAGTCGGGCATGACAAGTGTGTGCGTGCCGGCCCTGACTCCAGGCAGGCAGGCATGAGGGCATGGGTTTGTGCACAGGCCAGCCTGAATCTCGTCAGATGTGGCTGGGAAAGTCATCAAAAGTGAGGCCAGCATCAGCGGGCTGGGAACTTTACAGATTAGGAAAAGGGGGTCTGCAGAACAGGGAAGACTGAGGCAGGACCTGACGAGGGGAGGCCCAGGATGAGACCCCAGACTCTGAAATCTGGGCTCTGATCTCCCAACCACAGCACCGCATGGTTGAGCACAGTCTGGGGGTGCAGGGGACCCCGCCAACATCCCACAAAGTCTGAGAAGGGGGACAGAAGCTGAATGGGGACACTGGCACCCTGGAAAGGGGAGGCCCAGAGAGCAGGTTGGGGGATTTCTCTGCTCTCCTGAAATCCCAGCAGAAGCAACGGAGCCAAGAGTATAGAGTGAAGAGTGAGAGGGGCCTTGTGAGGGAGCCAGAAACCCAGCCCAGCTGCACCCTCACTTCAGAGGGGTGTGTGTGTGTGTGTGTGTGTGTGTGTGTGTGTGTGACTTGTGAGAGTGAGTCTCGGTGTGAATGTGGGGGGGCTGTAAGCGTGCATGTATGAATATGAGTATGTGGCTTGGCTGTGTGTGGGTGTGTGTCTGTGTGAATATGTGTGTGACTGCGGTTATGTGTGAGTATGAATGCATGTGTGTGGATGAGTACTTGGCTGTATGAGAGTGTGAATGTATGTGTCCGTATGTTTGGAATCTTTAAGCATCTGATCTGAGATCTTCCTTATGGAGATGAGAAGCCCAAGAGGCAGAAATCCCAGCACCTGCCCCCATGCCTCACTCTGAGCCTGAACCAGACCCGACCACCTGCCCTTCCAGAGTCTCACCAGGGTCAGACCCTTTGGCACAGGGGCTCCCAGGGCCTGACTCCCTGCGGCAGGGGCACTAGTGGGCAGAGTCTTCACCAGCGGCTGGGCTGGGGGAACAAATGTTCCAGGCAGATCCACAGAGCTCCAAGACTGTGAGGAGCTGTTTCCATCCGTGTGCCTATCAGGCCCAGATCCACCATCCATCCTGTGCCTTGGATGGGGTTACCCAGGTCAAGGAGCGCCCCCTGCTGGACAGCCCCAGTGACATCACTACACGCCCTCCTAGGGGCCTCCTTGCCTCTCCTGGAGCAGGAAGTAGGGAGGTACCCTCATCATGACAGTCTTGGTTGGGCCAGGGGCCAGGCTCTGGGCTTGGGGCTCCAAGGGAGGGCCCCCCACTCTGTGATGCAGTGTCTGTGGGGTTTGTAGCTATATGAATCGAATACCCTTTTTGTGTTTGCCTATCTGCCTTCCAAACATTCTCAGACACAACTGCCCAGAAAAGAAAGTTGCCTTCTGGACATTTTTAAACTATAAGTTCTGAGACTTACACGTGCTTATTTTGCTCTTTTAACAGAAAACTGTGGGAAATATATGTGGCTTCCCAGCACGCCAGTTAAAACCAAACCTTCTCCAGACCTAGAAAACGTTCAGGTTTTGCTCCAGCACCATTCTTAAGCCCTGACTCCTCTCAGCAGAGAGAGCAGGCGAAGGGTGGGTTCAGCTCCCTTGCTTCGATTTTGAGAGGTCTGTACATAGGGTACAAACGCAAATGTGGTGGCAGTCTCGGTAACAAGGAAACAGTTGTAGTAGAATCCCAAACCCACACGAGCTCACCGTGGCTCTTTACAACCTCGAGGCAGTGACACCCAACCCCTCTTACATTTGTGTGAAAAATGCAGCTTCATCTCCTGCTAAATCTGGAGCCCACCAGACATGCCCTCTGTTCTCTGGGACTGCCCCCCCCGACAACCCAGCCAGAGTCGAGGGGTCTCCCGAGCTCCCCGCATTCCATCCTGCCACCGACACTCACTTGGACTTGTTGTACTCAAACTCGATGTGCAGACAGTCCTCGATGCCCACCTCCATCTTGATGGAGGAGTTCAGCTCCGGGTACGTGCTGAGTGTGTGCACCACAATGTCCATCTCCTTGACCACGTCATTGAGGCGGCGGCTGATGGTGGCCCGAAGAAAATACCTAGAGGGGGTGTGACCAGAAAGGGCAGTCAGTCTACGGGTCAGACCCAGTCCACCCACGAAACAGAAACCTCCTGAGGCCAACTGACAGCACAGTGGTTAAGGCGCATGCACCTGACTGGGTCTGATCCCCAGTACCACCCTGAGCAATGCTGGGTGCAATTCTAGTGGCCTGAGCACTGTGGGGGTGGCTGGGTGACACTCAGCCCTGCAGGTTCCCAGCTGCACCGTGTTCTGTGTCTTGCCAGCTCAGATAGCCTGAAATATCTGCTGGGGCAAACTAGGCCTTCTGAGCACCATTTGGGAGGGCACCCCTTCCCCAGGAGTGGGGGGAGAGAGAGTGTGGAGCAAGAGCGAGTGAGCGAGTGAGAGAGAGTATTTACAAACCCTTTCAAGGTCCCTAGCCATTCTGGGCTACGAACTCCTCTTCCAAAAATGCATCTACGCACTCAGATTTGCAGACCCCTCCCAGAAATGTATCTACACATTCAGAGTCACAGACCTGCCTCCTAGAAATCCATCTATGCACTGATTAAGATTCACCTCTGTGAGAGAACAGAGGGGAATGCCCTGCCACAGAGGCAGGGTGGGATGGGGAGGTGGGGGGTGGGAGGGATACTGGGATCCGTGGTGGTGGGAAATGGGCACTGATGGAGGGATGGGTATTTGATCATTGTATAATTGAAACCCAAGCACAAAATATGTAAGTCTACAACTGTACCTCATGGTGTCTCACTAATTAAAAAAAAAAAAAAAGATTCACCTCTGCATCTAAGCATGCAGATTTGCAGACGTGCCTCCCAGAAATGCATCTATACACCCCCGTCCCGTAAATGCATCTATGCTCAGTGTTCAGGGATCACTCCTGGCAGGGTTTGGAGGACCATACGTGGTGCCAGACACTGAACCCAGGTCAGCTGTATGCAAGGCAAGCACCTTAGCCCCTGTATTATGGGGCTGGCCGGGAACTGGCTCCTTTGAACCAGATGAGGATCTGGCTTTTCCTGGGCTCCCCAGCAAGGCTCTGAGACAGTGCAGTTCTGAGGGAAGCAGAGGCAGGCTGGGGCGTGTGTGAAAGGGGGTAGCCAAGCCCTGATGGCTCCTGTGAAACCAAGGCCCTCTGCTGGCCTGACAGACCTGTCCACACACTTCCCGCCCAGCAAAGACTGCAGGACCCAAGAACAGAGGGAAGCCCCGAGACCTTCCTGCTCCTCTGCCTCCTCCTGCCTCCTCTCCCTCTCCAATACACCTCCAGTCCTCCTGTCATTTAGTGGTAAGCAACCCAGCGACCTTCCTGCCCTGTGGTAAGACACAGAAGGGCTCAGCCAGGCCGGTACAGACTGCTCCAGCGTGAGGATACTAAGCCAGAAGCAGCCAAGATGCCGCAGCGGCCAGAACGTGTGTGGGTCCCGAGCCAGCGACAGCCGCGACTCTGTCTCTCCTCCACTCTGGGCTGTGGTGCCCCGAGCTCCTGTGAGTGGCTTGTCTGTCCTGCGGTCATCCTGTGCCCTTGGATCAGGGAACTGGTATGTTGCGGGTTTCGGTCAGACAATCCAGAGGTGGTCAGTGTTCATAGCAGGGCGGCAGCACACCCCTGGCCGTCACTGCCTCCCTCCTGCCCTGCAGCTTTTCTAGCTGAGCCACCAGCAACCCCTCCCCCCCCATACTCCCCCCAACCCTGCTCATGGCCTCTGGCAATCGCTACTTTCAGTTTGGGGGCTGCAGGAGGGTGCTTGGGGATCAGGCGGAGCCTGACCCACGCTGTGGCTGCTTCCTTTATGCTTGGCTCCACGGTTCTGTGTGCACACACCACACGTGCATGGGCGGCCTTGCTGTCACTGTCCAGAAGAGCAACTGCCACCGCAGCTCGGAGCGCTACGGTTAGCTTTCTTGAGGAACTGCTGATACTCAATTTAAAGCAAATCCCTGCAACACAGGGGTTGCGTATGATGTCACAGTCTTGATGGCAGGTTTCACAGGAATCAGGGGGTCATACAGAAGCAAAGTCGTCCTTTGCCCTGCGACAAGTCACAAGGCCACCAGGATTCAACAGACTGCTCTGGAACTTTCTCATCTCAGAGAATTTGAACTTGGTCCCTAACCAGAGGGTCCAAGACTGGAACAGTAAGAACAAGTCTGTGCACTTATTCATCCTGGGAGTGGAAGGTACTCGCGATGGTACTCAGGCACTGCTCCTAGCTCCGTCATGCTCAAGGATCAATCTTGGGGGTATTTTGGTGGGGTGAAGTTGGGGAACAGGGACCAGAGGTGGTACTGGGGATCACATCAGGGTAGGCTGCATGACAGGCAAGCGCCTCACCCCATTGTCTCTCCAGCCCCAGGACTCTTTTAAGAACTTTTCATGCTTTGCTTCCTTTCATGCACCCAACCCTCTTAGATGGAAAGTTCTAGAACAGGTATCTGGCTCTGCCACCCACTCCTCAGTTGGGACCACAGAGGGACAGCACTCAGGACAGTCTGCAGGATGGCTGCCAAGGAACTAGCTTGACCTCATGTCAGACAGCCAGCTCTGGATTCCTGGCATTCTCTGACCCATCTGCTGGTTACCAGGAACAGACCCACACATCCCACCCAACCAGACAGGAAGTACGCTGAAGACTCGGTGCTTCCAAACACTTCCAGCTCTTTGCTCTTGGGGGAAATAACACCTGGTACCTCAGGGGGATGATCACGAAGGTCTGAAAAGCCTCTCCCTGCCTCAGTGCGCAGGGATGACAGGCCTGAGTAGAAACCCATAGAGCTGACGAAGGTCACGGTCCAGGTGCTCTCCTCCGGGGCTCCCGCGCTCAGCCTCCTGCCCCAGACCAGGCAGCCTGTGCCACTCACCGCAGCTTCACATTCTGGCCTGTGTAGGACTCGTACGGCTTCTCCACATGGGTGAACTCGAAGTCGAAGGTCTGGGACTGGGTGATCTCCCCGGGCCGGGCCAAGTCCTTCACCAGCGACACAAACTCATGGTGGTTTCCGCGGTCATAGTAGAGCTCTGGTGAGAGAAAAGTGGGGTCTCATCCATCAGATCCCAAGCCTCAAGGAGCTGGGGGCCTCCCAGCTACAGGAATTGTTCTCTCTCACCACCTGTCCCCAACACGCACACATGCATGCACGCACGTACACACACTCCACCAGCCTCACTTTCCACCTGAGCCCACTCCTGCTGCACGATCCTCACAATTCAACCCCCACCCCCAAAATCTCTGTTTTGTCCAGAAAAACACAGACATTAAAGAGCAAGCTAGCTCCAGGCCAAGGAGTCAGGGGAGTTCAGAAACAGCCACCAAAACAATTGCTTTGCACACATTTATAAACCATTTCTAACTTCGTTTGTTTGTCTGTTTTGGACAGCCCAGCAGTGCCCAGGACTTACTCCTGCTTCTGCACTTAGGCATCAATCCTGGAAGGGGTCAGAGGGCGCTATGGAGTGCTGAGGACCACCCAGATCGACCGGTCCCATGCAAGGCAAGTGCCCTACCCGCCATGGCTCCATCCCATACAAGCCATTTGCAGCTTCTGAAAGCCTTTTCACAGCTTTCCCAAGGAAGAAGCCCTGCTGCCTCCTGTGAGACATGGAGTGCAGGCCTGACAGATGGCGAGGCACTGAGGCTGAGGCACTGAGGTCCCAGGCTGCCTGTGAGGCTGTGGGCCAAGCCTCTCTCCTGTGGGAAAGTCTATTCCTATAATCTGGCCCAAGGCGGTGCAAACACTGAGGTTCTATGATCATCAGCAGAAGTGAGAACATGAAGGAAAAACAGTTACCAGGGAACAAGCATGCACCCAGCATTCTCTCCTGGCTGCTTGGCCTAGTCGGATGGGAGTTCAAGGTGATCTCATCAGAATCAAAGGCGCTCCGAGCCCCATGTGCCCAAATCACGCAAAGACTTTGCAGAAGCCACTGCAGGGCCTGGCCTCTGGGTGCTGGGGCGGGGCCCAGCAGTATCCCCCAGGAGGGACACTCTACTCCTTCCCCTCGGGAGAGCTCTGAGGCTGCTGTCAGTTCATGCCTGCACCTCTTGGGTCTGTGAGCTCGCAGTCTGCATGTCGGTATTAGCCGGAATACAGTAGAAACACATGGGGCTGGTGGGATCCCCACAACCTGTCTGGGCCAAGGGACACTCACCGCTGAGTGTGGCCCGCCCGAGAGAGCTGCAGCCTGCCCCTTGGGTATTTCTGGATCCAGACCCACAGAGTCTATGAGAGAGAGGCCAATGGGGAGTGCGGGCGGGTGCCGCGCACTTGCAGCTTCTGCTGTCAGCTGCCTGGGGACCAGGGGACAGGTCCCCAGAGTGCAGTAACTGGGACAACGGCCCAGTGGGCCTAGTTGGGTCCCTGGCACATAGCAGCACTCACGTGGGGGAACAAGCCTCAGGATGAAGGAAGGTTTGCTGATGGGCCTCCTTGGCCCTGGGTCTGGGTGCATAACCCGCCTGCTTGGCCCTGGGTCTGGGTGCATAACCCGCCTGCTTGGCCCTGGGTTTGAGTGCATAACCCGCCTGCTGCTCACTGCTGGAGGCACGCAGAGCACGGGGTCTGTCCTGAGAACTAGCCAGGGGTGGAGGGGTCTTCTGTGTGCATACAATGTAGGTGGTGATTACTGTGTGCTTACAGTGCATCCTATGATTATTGTGTGTGTTAAAATGTAGCCTATGATTATCTGTCTCCTTACAATGTTATCGTGTGGTGCCCTGTGCTTACAGTCTATCCTGTGATTATCTTGTGCTTACAATGAAGCCTGTGATGACTGTGTCTGAGAATCCTATGGTGACTGTGTCCTGACAGTGTATCCTGTGGTGACTGCCCTTACAGTGTATCCTGTGACAACTGTGTCCTTACAGTGTATCCTGTGGTGACTCTCCTTACAGTGTATCCTGTGTGACCATGTCCTTATAGTGTATCCTGTGTGACTGCCTCCTTACAGTATACACTGTGGTGACTCTCCTTACAGAGTATCCTGTGTGACTATGTCCTTACAGTGTGTCCTGTGTGACTATGTCCTTACAGTGTATCCTGTGTGACTGTGTCCTTACAGTGCATCCTGTGGTGACTGTGTCCTTACAGTATATCTTGTGGTGACTGCCTCCTTACAGTGTATCCTGTATGACTGTTTCCTTACAGTGTATCCTGTGGTGACTGTCTTTATAGTGCATCCTGTGATTATTGTGCATGCTTACAATGCATTCGTGATGACTTTATATGCTGCCAAGGATGTCTATGACTACAGTGTATGCTCACATCCTTTGGGGCCACACCTGCTGATGCTCAGTGCTTACATCCTGGCTCTGTGCTCGGGGGTCACTCCTGGCAAGGGTTCAGGGGACCACAATGGAACGGGCAGCAGCCAACACAAGGCATGCGCCTTAACCTGTGCAATGCCTCAGGTCCCTGACCCACCTTCTTCTCCAAATACTTAATGGCTTTAGAAGAGCATATGCAGCCTGCAATACTCTGGTAGTGAGACATCGATGGCCGCTGCAGGGGTGCAAACCTGTACTTCCTCAGAACTCCACTAACTGGCCCCCGGGAGTAAGGAGGTGCAGTGGGCAGCCAATTTGCCCCCACCAGCCCATGACTGCTGGTTTCCCAGGAAACCCTTATGGTATTTTGGGCGCCAGGGTAGGATCTGGGAAATGAACCCCACAACCCATGCACTTAAGTCAGGAACAGAAGCAGGTGGAGCGAGGTCCCAATGCCCAGGAACCTTTGGGAAAATGGGATGTGAACAGAACCCCAAGCGACAGAGAAAGGTGAGGACCCTGTGCTGTGCCCTCTGCTCTGTCCCTGCGTGGGCAGGGAAGGCCTCCCTTGTGATCCTCCTTCCGGAGGCAAGGGGGCACCTCAGATTGCGCCTGCGTGTCCTGCTCTCCGACGAAGCTTGTTCATGAATAACTCAGAAGCCACTTGCACTGTCTGTGCCAATGGGGCGCAAAGGGGCAGAAACAGCAGCAGACTTGGCCGGGTGCCTACAAGTGGGATGTCCTCTTGCCTAAATTACCACAGAAAACCTGAGCTGTTCCAGAACAAGGGTTGGGGCCTGGGCCCCGGAAGTAGAGCTCGGCCCAATCACCTCCGCTTCTCTCCAGCCAGAGCCTGTGGGGCCGTCCCTTTCCTGCTCCAAGTCAGGACCCACCACTGGCCGGTCTTCGGCCTCCTCCTCATTCCGCCAGGAGGAAATGACTTCAGTAGTCAGAGTGTCTCCATGGCGACACTTGCTGCCAACAGCAGAGCAGAGACTGCTCTCAGGGAGGAAGCGGAGCCAGTTTGCTTCCCAGGCTCAACCCAGTTAAGAGCCCCCATCAGAGGCGGCGGCAAGAGGGGGGTCAGCCTCCTCTCCATCCTCATGGGCCACTGCTGGCTGGGCCAGGAGTTACCCTCTGAATCTGCGGGGGCTGCCCTCTGGACAACTGCCTTCCCTCCACCCCAGTGCACGCCCCCCCACCCCCCACCTGCTCTGCCAGGACAGACCCTCTTTCCAGTCCTGTACTTCCTTTTTTTTTTTGCTTTTTGGGTTACACCAGGCAACGCACAGGGGTTACTCCTGGCGGTGCTCAGGGGACCATATGGGATGCTGGGAATCAAACCCGGGTCGGCCGCATGCAAGGCAAACACCCTACCCACTGTGTTATCGCTCCAGCCCCTCCTTTATAAGAGCCAGAATCAATCCACTTCATCTCAACCTGTCTCTTAGAGGGCTCATGAACTAAAACACAGAGAAAGCCTCTGGGGTCTTAGAAAAGACTTGTTGCTCCTTGTTGCAGAATTTATTTATTTATTTATTTATTTTTAAAAAGGTTACTTTTTTAAAATATTTAGAAGAAAAAACGGGGCAGGGAGAGAGCTCATAAGGCTGGAGCGCAGGCTTTGCAAATCGGAGGCCTAGGTTCAATCCCGGCACTGCATGGTTCCCTGAGCACCAAGCCAGGAGTACTCCTTAAGCACTGTCAGGTGTGACCCGAAAAACAATGCTATTTTTTTTTGGCAAGTGACTTATCCACTCTTCTACCTTTCCGACTCCCTCCTTCCCCCACTCCACCCCCAAGTGGCTCAGAGGCCAGGAGAAAACAAAATGTACATGACAGCCTTTGGAAATGCTTAGCAAAGGCTGCCCGAGCTCCTACTCCCCAGAGGGGCCTCCAGGCTGCTTCGATCAACCCTGCTGGGGGCTACAGCCGATCCCAGCTTTCAGGCGCTTCCAGTTTAGTGCAGAAAACACAAGTCCAAGCGACAGAACAGTGTCAGGCTCTGCACACGCTGCTTGAACAGAGGGACCCACGAGGTCTCGGGCCTGGAGAGTAGAGCGGGAAAGGTGCCAGTCGGCAGAGGGGGTGGGGGTGGGGTCGGCTTCTCTGGGCGATGGCAGGCTTGCTGAGCTCTGAGCAATGAGCAGGTGGCAGCGAGGGGAAGCTGGGGAGAAGGAGAGAGGCAGCCCCAGAGGGGGTGCTGCACCTTTCCCTTTTCCCCAGGGGCAAGGAGTGGATGAAGGAACATTCAGGATGGGCCAAGGGGCCAGGAACCCTTGGAAAGCCCATCTCTTCCAGGAGATGACCTTACAGGAGAGGGGAGGGAGCTGGAGAGGACTGAGGATCTAGTCTAAAGCCGTAAGGGGGGCCAGAGCAACAGCACAGCGGGGAGGGCACTTGTCCTGCACCTGGCCAACCTGGGTTCAAAACCTCAGCACCCCATAGGTTCCCCTAAGCCCTACCAGGAGTGACCCCTGAGCATGGAGCCAGGAGGAAGCCCAGAGCACTACTGGGTGTGTTCCAATAACTTAAAAAAAAAACCCAAAGAAACAAACAAACCAAAACTGTGGGAAAGGACCATGTTCACAAGCCCATGGAAGGTGCTGGAGGAGGGATAAAATCTGAGCTGAGCCCCAGCTTTCAGGGAGGGGTCACCCCAACCCCAGCGAAGATGGGGCTGGGGTGAAAGAGCACAGGGCCTCGCGGCTGGGGATTGGGGAGGGGGGGGTAAGCCCTGCGAGCCTCTGGGACTCTGCGAGGTGAGGTGAGCACAACGAAGGATCCAGAGTCAGCATACAACACCCATATCATGGGTGCAGGTAGAATGAGAGGTCAGGGACAGTGCACAGACAGTGCCTCTCATCCTGACCCCCCCTCACCCCACCCCACAAAGCTCTCTGAGCGTGGTATACCTCCTAAGAGGCCCGATGCCACCCACAAGGTCAGCTGTGTGTGAGCACTGTGCAGCTAGAGCTAGGGGCCCATGCCGCCCCTCCTGGAAACAGACATGAGACATTGCTTGTCCTGCCCCAACAAAGAAACAGAGTTGGGCTGGAGCGATAGCACAGCGGGTAGGGCGTTTTGCCTTGCACGTAGCCAACCGGGTTCGATTCCCAGCATCCCATATGGTCCCTCAAGCACCGCCAGGAGTGATTCCTGAGTGCATGAGCCAGCAGTAATCCCTGTGCATCTCCAGGTGTGCCCAAAAAGCAAAAAAAAGAAAAAGAAAAAAGAAAATAAACAGAGTTGATCCCAAAGCTTAGAGCCATCTCAAAGCTTAGAGCTATCCCAAAGCTTAGAGCCATCCCAACCCCAACCACTGCATCTTCGACTCTGGTGTTCTCCCCCGGCTAAGGAGAAGCGAGGACCATATTCCAGAGTCTGTTCTGGAGGAAGGAAGATTGAGTGCAAAGACAGAGCTGGGCCTCAGACCAGAGTCCCACCTACTTCCCACAGGTAGAGATGAACAAGAAAACCACACATGGCCAGCAGGTGCAGGTGAGGTCAGCTCAGACACATGGCGACAGTCCCCAAGGAAAACTCAGCAGACCCCACCTTGCAGGTGAGGGGCAGTGGCCAGTCACCTCAGTCCAGAGTACATGGAACCTGAAGTAGTGACGAGCAGGAGCACAGGGGGTCCCGAGCAGTGACCAGCGGGCATGCACGGGGCCTGGAGCAGTGACCAGGGAGAGCAGCAGAGGTTCTGAGAAAGCTAAGCATAACTGCTAGGAGTCAGACAGGTATGGTTGGCAGCCCCATGCCCCTTCGGACTAGACAGAACTGCCCCACGCTGTGTTGCTCGGCCCCTGCAACACTGGGGATCAGTATTGCTGATACAATGATACAAGGCGAGTCATGGCAATACTGATTTTGCACAGGCTGACCTCACGAGTGACGCTCAATCACAGACATCCCTATGGCTCTCACTGTGCCCAGCACACTGTGCCTTATAGAGCACCCACGTCACTCTCACAGAACTGGGCATACTGGCAGTGAGTGGCAGGGAGAAGCCCGGTAAGCTGGGAAACCTGCTCCAACGACAAATGATGGAACCGCAAATGCCAGGAACACGGCTGCCCAGAGCACCCTGGGCTAAAGCTGGCAAGCGGAAGGCCTGGCACCGTCTCCTGCCCCCTTGCAACCCCCATTCCAGCACACCACAGGCTGCTGGTGTTCTGGATTCCAAACAGCAGGGCTGTGGGACAAGTTCTTAGGTGAAAGCGCACATGCTAAGTTCTGAGTTCGACCACAGCACCTCATAGTTCCCAAGCACCCTGTAGTGCGGCCCTGGCAGGGCCCAGCATCTCTGGCCAGGAGCCCTGGGCTTTAACCTGGCTCCTCTTGAGAAAATCAACAGGAAGATTCCCAGGGGGTCAGTCTGATTCCACTTAACCAAAGACTCAGAGCACAGTCTCCATCGGGCACTGGAAAATAGACCCGGCTCCATGACCTGGGTCCTCTCATTTCCGACCACTGCGAAAGGGGAGCCCAGGGGCTCTGCGGACAGGCGGAAGGAAGGAAGGAGCGCTGAAGCAGCTTCCCCAGAGTCCAAAGAGCAGGAATGTGTACCTATGGCATAGGCTGGGAACCGATTCCCAGCCTGAGGTTTCCTTTTTGCCTGCTCAAGTATTTCCTGTCCTTATGGCAGAGACCATGTATTTCTCAAGCCCTGCGAGTTGCAATAAATACAAGCCTCTAATTGGTTTTCCAAATGGTGACGCCCCCTCAGCACCCCTCTCTCCCAGCACCCGGGCTGTCGCTGCCTTTCACTGTCCAGCTGATTGATTAACAGGGGTGATACTGTGAATCTGGAGTTACTGTATTTGGGGCTTCGGACCGGCCCTCCCGTCAGGACAACGTGGAAACAAGCGTCAGAATGCAGAACTTCGGAAGGACGGCTCGGGGAGCAAAAGGCCGGGCTGCTGGCTTCCACGCACAGGCTGCCACCTGCAGTCAGACTCAAGGTGAGGCGCGGGGGCAGGCGGCCGCTCCCCTCCGCAGAGAGAGGAGCGGCTAACCGGCCTCGCCGCTCGGGTAAGCGCGGGGCCCAAGACTGGACCGGCCATCCACCCGCAGCACTGCGCTGCCGCTTCGCTCCGAACCCGGGCGGCAGGTGCCAGGGACAAGCGGGCATCGCGGGGCACAGAGGCGCGGCCGCGCGCCCACGTCGCCAGCCGGGCGCCCTCGCGCCGCGCTGTCACCTGTGGCCGAACCCGGGGCACGGACGCGCCGTGGACGGCGTGGCCAGGGGCTGTCCCCGAGGCCCGCCGAACCTTTCGGCTCCCGGCCACTCACCGATCTGCCCGATGAACTCGACCTTGATGCCCTGGTGCTCCAGACGCTTGTTGGGGTTCTTGAGCGCCAGGCTCACCTTCCCGGACACCGTCTCCCCGTCGTAGAAGAGGAAATATTTCTCCTTCTTGCCGTCCTCCGTCTTGTGCTCGGCCCGCTTCCTGCTCTCCGCATCGCTCAGCAGGATCTCCACCTCCACGCTTTGCCCGAAGCCGAAGAAGCTCATCTCCCCGGCGGGCCGGGCCGGGCCGGGCCGGGCCGAGCGCGGGGACAAGGTTCCAGTCCGCGGGGCCGCGCGGCTCCGAGCGCAGGCCGGGCAGGGGCGCGGGCCCGGGCTCAGCCACCCGCCGGGGGGCGACCGCGCGACTCGGCGCTCCGCGGGGAGGGGGCAGGGCCGGCTGCGGCGGCGCCGCGCGAGCCCGGATGCACCAAGCGGCCGACGCGGCCGAGGGCTGGCGGTGCAATTCTAGGGGCGCAGCGCAGAGCCCCAGGGTGCAGCGGAGCGGGCCAGCCAGCCTCCCTCGGGGAAACCGCCGAGGTGCCCGAGCGGCTCGGGGCGCGGGCGGGAGGGGGCGGAGGGCGGGAGGCGGTCCCAGCCCGCACGCGCCGCGGACGCCGGACGCATGCGCACGCCCGGGCCCGGGCCGCTGGGGCCCGGCCTCGGGGCGGTGGCTCGCGCGCATGCGTACTGGGCGTTTCCCTCAACTGACATGGCAGCCGTGGCTTCCTTCCAGGACAGCTCCAGTCCAGACGCCCCGTCACTAGAGGCACCGCAGTTTGTCTTTCTGAGTTGTTTTTTAAATTGCTTTGGCTTGGTGGAAGGTTGGCTGCCACCCCGGCTGGGAGTTGCAACGCCGGACTGCTGTCTCGGCGTGTAAAGCGTGCCCTCAAGACGTGCCTGGGAAATGTCTCCTGACAGGGGGCAAAGGTGATTATTACAGGGAGGGTCTTGTCTCAAACGCTCTTTTTTCCCTTTAGGGACTCTCCGGTGAGGAAAAATGCGGCGGGCCAGACGCGACTAGAGTAGAACGTCGTTCTTGGGCCCGACCTTCAAAGGAAACGGGAGAAGACCGGCCCGGAGCCTCGGCGCGGCGCTCGGCCCCTCGGCGCGGCGCTCGGCCCGGCCTCGCTCACGGTTTGCGCGTGCGCGAGCGGCGGAAGGCGCCGCTGATTGGTCCGTGGGCCGATGGGGCGGGGCGGATTCCCGCGCGCTGGTTGGCCGGCGAAGAGGTTTCGGAGCGCGCGCGCCAGCGAGCTTTCAAAGTTTGCCTCGGCGGCGCGTCGCGGGTCGCGGGAGCGTCATGGCGCTGCCCGGCCTGGCTGACAGCCTGCATCCCTGGTGCCTGTTGGATCTCAGCCCCGGTACGGAGACGACGCGGGGGGCTCGCGGGGCCTGGGCCGCGGTGCTGTGCGCCCGGGCCGAGCCGGGGGGGGGGGGAGGCGCCTGACTGCCCGCGGTCCCGGGGCCTCGGGGCGGCCGCGCAGCCGGACCCGCGGGGCCTGGTGCGGTCGAGGGGCGCGCCCGGGAGCAGCCTGGGGAAAGGGGCTCCGGGGCCCGGTTCGCCGTGCCGGGGCGCCGGCGCGGGCTGGGCCTTCCCTGCCCGGCTGCGGCCGGAACCGCCTCCGCTGCCTGTGGAGGCCGCTTGTCGGCTGGCGCCGAGCGGGCCGCGGCGGGTCCAGGCCCGGGGCGCGCGGGGACGCGCGGGAAGCGCCCCCCGTGCGGCGCGGCGGGGGCGGCGGGCTCGGGCAGGTGCTGCGCGTCGTCCCGTCGTCACGGAGCCCGGGCAGGCTGGCCGCGCCCGGCGAGCTGGGACCGGGCGTGGCCGGCGGCTCCCGGGGTCCCGCGCTGCCCCTCCGGGCTGGGGCCGGGGCGCGTAGGGCGTGGCGCAGGGAGCGGAGCGTCCGTGTGGGACGGGCGCCCCGCGGAGCCGCTCGACGCCCAGCGGCCCCTCGCGCCCCGGCTCGGACTCGGCGCGCACCTGCTTCTGGTCCCCGGCGTCGGGAGGCGCCTTCTTCCCCGGCTGCCCCTCTCGCCGGCCCCCTCTGTGTCCTGAGCGTGCCGTGCCCGCCCTCAGCCGGGCTCCGCTCCGCGCTCCGGGGAGACGGGGCCGAACGTGGGGTTCTCCGGGGCCAAGCACCCGCCGGCCTCGGCCCCTGGAGGCACCCCGGCCCTTGCTCCTTGAGCCCACGGTCAGCGCTGTCCTTCCTTCTCGTGTCTCCGTTCCTCCGCACTGGCTGTCCCCGAGGACCAGCCCTCCAGATCGAGTGGCCGCGCCAGCCCGCCGAGCGCCCACCTTGCTGCCCACCCCACACCTCTGCCGCAGTCACTTTTGGAAACGCTGCCTGAACTTGCTTGAAGTTGTCGGGTCTCCAAGCCTTAGTATTTTCCCTTTAATGAGTCGTCGTTCAAGTCCGAATCTTCCTCCAGAGCGCAAGAGCGCGGAGCATTCACTGCAGTTTTTCCTCACGGCAGAGTCTGAGCTGTGGAGACTGAGTTTGAGTTTGAGCCATGGAGACAGAGTTTGAGCTAAGGAGACTGGAAATGGCCTCTAGGCTTCGTGTCATCGGGCAACCCAAGTGATGTCGCTGTCCCTCCCGTTGTTCATCGACTTGCTGATGCGGGCCCAGTAACGTCTCCATTGTGAGACTTCTTGTTGCTGTGTTTGGCATATGGAATACTCTCGGAGTCGGACCTGGCTGGCCGGGCTGGCTGCGCACAAGGCACATGCCCTACCGCTGTGCTGTCTGTCCCTCCAGCCCAACCCAAGTGATAGATCTCCATTTCTTTGTCTGTCAATGGGGACGTTGGTCTCTGCAGCAGTGTTTTTGTGAGGTTTCATACCGATACCCTGCAACTCTTCTCTGGCAGTACCTTCAACCCTCACACACAAAGCCCACTGTACCTTTTTTGTTCATTTCCACATATCACATACTTTGATCTCTTTGTGCCTTGTTATACCCTTCTGGCTGTGTGGGGGCACTTTCTGACTTTTCCTTTGGTGGTGGGCTCCCATGATAAGGTTCAGCTGAAGCATTCTCTTTCCAATTCCTGTCCCCCACTGCCCCAGTGATTCTCTGCTTTGCTCCCCAGTGTTTTAAGTAGCTTTTTCTGTTTCAATTCTGTTTCATCTGTTATAAAAGTAGCAGTAACTATCATTGATTGACTGTATTGATTTCCTGACAGATTTTGTTGTTGTTGTTGTTGTTGCTGCTGCTGGGTTTTGATACTTATTATCTAGCAATGCTTTTAAAGTGGTTTTTAAAAATTGGAATTGCCGGGGAGGTGCTCAGTAGCAGAATATCATGTGTACACACACACACACACACACACACACAGGCAATGAATGGGATAGTGACTGTCTGCTGCCTAAATCTTGGCAGGCTTTTCCATTTCAGAAATAATTACATTAGAATATAAAATTTCTTACCATTGGTTTTTATTCCAAAAGTTTTAAAATTAGGGTGCTAAGTATTTTCAGTTCCTATAAAAAGAAGTGACATTTTTTTCATTCACTTTCTTCTCTGCCATTCCCATTCATTTAGATCCCCTTACTCCCAGTTTCTAGTGAATCTCTCCATTGCTCCTTGCTCTGGTTTAATGACAGATAGAGCTGAGGTAGTAAGACTAAAATGTTAGAATTGCTATGATTAAATTGCTATGATTTTTATGATATTTGCTATGATTGCTATCATGCATGATTTAAAGTCATGCAGTGGTAGAACTAATGTCATGCATGTGTTGATGCCCTGGGTGCGATCCCCAGCCAACAGCAAACAAAAAAAAATACATGTATGATTTATGAGAAGGGTCTAGAGTGATAATACAGCAGGTAAGGCATTTGCGTTGCATGTGACCGACTTCAGAAGAATAGAAATCTAGGTATTACTTCCTTCCAGATTGCACTAGATGTTTCTGACAGTGGGGGACTTATATGTTTAACACTAAAATAAGGAGTGAGGGGCTGGAGCGATAGCACAGTGGGTAGGGCGTCGGGTTCAATTCCCAGCATCCCATATGGTCCCCCGAGAACAGCCAGGGGTGATTCCTGAGTGTAGAGCCAGGAGTAACCCCTATGCATCACCAGGTGTGACCCTAAAAGGCAAAAAATTAAAAAATAAAAAATAAATAAAATAAGGAGTGAGATGTCTTCATTGTAGTCTACAATGGGAATCAAAATACTGCTGAAAATGCGTTTGTCTTTTTCGGATATTCCTTAAAGCAGCATATTTTATATCTTGGAAACTAATGCTCTGCAAAGCCACCTGCTGCACAGAGACTCTGTCTTCCATAGTTGAACTGAAGAGACAGAGGGGCACCGACAACTTCTTTGAAAGGAGGATAGTTTTTATTTAGTTTTTATTCACTGAATACAGTGTAGTGCTCCGAACCATGAAAGTTTGAGACTTGAGACTATCTCCAGATTTTCTTTATTCAGCCCCAACCCACTTTTCTAAAACAGTGGCAAACCGATATCTAAGTATTCATTTGAAAGAACATCTGACTACTAAGGTCTGAGACATCTGCGCGTTTTCACCTTTCTCTAAAAAGGATCTAGGGGATAGCAATGAAAACACAGAAGAAACATTTTAGAAGAAATGGAATCAAGAAAAATTAGCAAAGGGCTGGTGTGATAGTTCAGCAGATAGGGTGCTTGTCTTGCTTATGGCTAACACAAGTTCAATCCCTCGCATTCCATATGGTCCCTGGAGCTCACCGGAAGTGATCCCTGACCACAGACCCAGGGATAAGCTCTGAGCACCAGTAGGTCTCCCCTGCCCCCACCCCCCGGGGGGTGGAGGGGGGATGACTGGCAAAGTTCGGTCTAGAATCATAAATTACTACTACATTCTCTCAGCATACATTTTTCCATTAGTATGTTTGCAAATCACAAAGCATTTATTTAATTCTGAGTCTCACTTGACTATTCTCATTTAAATTTCTTAAATAAATTATAACCTTTTTGGTTTAATTATAACCTTTTTAGTTTTGCTGCAATGTTACATTTACATAAGGACCTGATAAAGCATTGTACTCTTTACTTGGGTTTATTATAAGATTTTCACAATTTGTATAACCTATTTTGTTTCTCTGATCAAAAATATGAAAAAGTCTGTTTCCTCTAATAATTTATATCTAAAAAGTATTTGTTTTTCTTAATAATTTTAGAATAAACGTCTTATGACCAACAGCCAGATATGATTTTAAAATGTGAAGTGTTCCTTGGGGTGGGTGGGGAGGGTGGTAATAGTTTAAGGATTGGAACATTTTCTTTGCATTCAGAGATACTAATGCAAATCTAAATCTTGGTACTACTTGCCTGCTCCAGAACTGCTTGGTAGGCCCAGAAAGGGGGAGAAAAGGTCTTAGGGTATTCTCAAACCGTTCCTGATATCTTTTATATTGGGTTCCATCAGTGCAGTATTTAATGTGCATTATAACTCATGAACTTTTTCTCTCCTTGAATGTATCTGTAATCTAATGGTCATCAAGTTGTTGGGATTTTTATTTGTTCATTTGTTTATTTAACTCGCTTTCTGATTTCTTTTTCTACCAGAATGGGTGGATACTGTATGGGACCTGGATTTCACGGAAACTGAGCCTTTGGATCCTGATGTTGAAGCAGATATCTTAGAGTCTGGATTGGATGCATTCAAAAGACTTGATGATAGTCTTTTCCACTTTGCTACTGAAGAACAGGGATCCAAGGAGGTAAAAAAATGAAAGAAGTTTTTTTAAAAATCAGGGGCCTAAGTGATAGTACAGTGGGTAGGTAGGGCATTTGCCTAGCTTTTGCCTAGCATGTGGCCGACTGAGGTTCGTTCCCCCCCTCCCATGTAGTTCCCTACGCACCTCTAGGAGTAATTCCTGAGTAAACCCCTGAGCATTGCTGGGTGTGACCTAAAAAGCCAAAACAAAGAAGCAAAAAAAATTAGGTATTAGAATGGGAAGATGAAAGTCGTTATTATAGTCTAAGGAGTAGCCTTTTTGCCAATTTGTATTCAAATCAGGAATACAAAAAGATTAGTGTAAGGAATATGACATCCTACCTAGTAGCATACTATAAAGGTTTTGAGTTTTTTTTTTTTTAAAGCCACAACTTCTTTTTCTAATAGCAAATTAAAGGAAAAGAATAAAAACCCAACAAGGAAGAAAACAGAATAAGGCAAAAATATAGTCACACATGTAGCAATTCAGAAGACCGTCATTGTAAAAAAAATTCATCTTTTTACTAAAACTGAGAAGTATAAGTTGAATTATGAATGAAACAGTTCCTTTGAATATTGAGTTCTACATAGTGTGCTAAATTAATATTTGGATTCACAATTTTTATTTATTTTTTGTTTTGTTTTTGCGCACACCCTTTGATGCTCAGGGCTTACTCTTGGCTCTGCACTCAGGAATCACTTCTAGTGGGCCGAGGGGCAATATGGGATGCTGGAGATCAAACTTGGGTTGGCCCGGTGTAAGGCAAGGCTCATGCAAGGCAAGTACTTTGTCTGCTGTACTATCTCCGGCCCCTAGGGTAATGATTTTTTTTTTTTTAATTTTGGGCTAGAAAGCAGGGGTGAAATACTTAGTAACACCTGAGAAATTTATATTGACAAAACATTTGAATTACAAGGTTCACATAATGTTCCAAAACAAGGTTTTCTAGTTAAACATCATTCAACCTATTGTCAAGTCTTTGGGAACCTGAGAAGACAATGTGATGATTGAGACAGAGACTCTCCTCATTGAGAACTTCGGCAGCAGCACTGGCTGCAAGCCCTCCATGTGTCTTCTGGTCAATGCCAGTTCCATGTCCTTCCAACTGCTGAGTCCTCATGAGTGAAAGCTGGAAATACTTGGTTAAACTGGTTGTCAAAACTGCTATCAGAAAGGTGTAGGTACCATGTAATAGGAGTGAGGAAAAGGAAGTACAGTGAGATTTGAAAGATTTCAGAAAGAAAGCCAGAAGTGAGTCTTCCCAATGGGTGGAATATTAAACAGCAGAAATAAGGGTGCTAAGGTACTGCACACATTCACAATACAGAATACAGAGAGAATCATGGACAGTAAGTGTGAAGGACTTATACAAGTTAACTGGAATATAACCTGGAATCAGGCCAGCTGGTCAGATTGAGAATGTATATTTGGGTAGCTTGAAGTAGGGTTCAACAACAGGGCTTGAAAATTTGTAGCAGAATATCTAGAGTATGTAAGGTTTTTTTCCTGAGGGTCATACTAACACTAACAGTTAATCCTCACAACCACCTGTATGAGGATGAGTTTCTAGGGAGTAGTAGATTAAGTGATATGAGGAGCTCTGATACAAGACACTGCTGTGGGTCAGAGGTGCCCAAAGTAGGAGGAACTGCACCCTTGGAAGACTCTTCCATCTTTCTGACTGTTATTGGTGTGATCTGGAGTCATGGTTCTGGATGTTCCAAAGGAGTTAAAAATGAGGGCCATTTTTCTTTTCCTGCAAGCAGTCTCCCAGAGGTGCCTGGAGGGCCTAGAGCCACTCCTGATGATGGTCAGCCTGGCAGCACTCAAGGGATCCTCAGGAACTGGGAATAGAATTTGAGAGCTCAGGACTTCATTGGAAGTGGTGCTCCATTCCTTGGAGCTATCCACAGGGACTTAGGCAGTTTTTGAAGTCTAACAAGTGGGCTGGAGCGAAAGCACAGCGGTAGGGCGTTTGCCCTGCACGCAGCCAACATGGCCGACCCGAGTTCGATTCCTCCGCCCCTCTCGGAGAGCCCGGCAAGCTACCGAGAGTATCTCGCCCACATGGTAGAGCCTGGCAAGCTCCCCGTGACGTATTCGATATGCCAGACACAGTAACAACAAAGTCTCCAACGGAGACGTTACTGGGCCCGCTCGAGCAAATCGATGATCAACGGGAGGGCCTTTACTTTTACTTTACTTACTTACAAGTAGAGCTTAGTGAACCCAGCCAGTCTTATCAGATCTACAGACATGGTGAATGACTGGACATGGAGTGAAAAGAAATGTCAAAGATCACACGGTCTTTTACAAAACTCGGAGTGGAGCGATATTTTTAGCCAGTATAGGTACTGAGGAAAAGACGGGAAAGTCTAGTAGAGGACTCTATGAGTTTATTTTTATGGTTTTGAGTGTGAGATTTTTGAGCTTTGGTATTGGGACCATATTGGGCATGGTTGATGGCTAATCCGAGCTCTCATCTCAGAGGTTGATATCCCAGTGCTGCTCAGGGAACCAGCCTTTCCGGGGGTGCAAGGCAAACACTTTACTGTGTCTCTGGCCTTGATTTGAGATTTTTTAAGTGATCTTCAGGGACATAATTAGAAATGTGAATCAGCTGTACAGAGAGATGTAAGGTTGTAAGGCTCAATAAAACAAAAACAGTGACTTCTTGGAGTATGTGGCCAGTGTGCTCTGCTGTCAGTGAGAGAGAGAAGAGGCCGACTGAGGAAAGGCAGGCACACAGGAGCTAACAGGAGGAGCTGCTTGTGGGCAGTGACCTGAGATCTTCAATCAAGGCTGTTGGGGCAGAGGTGACTGGGTAAACCCTTAACATCCTATGTCCCCATTGCACCAAGTGTACAGAAATAAAAGTACTGTTAGGACTGAGTATGTACTGCTAAAAATTCTGGAGTGTGCTTCCAGAAGTTTTATGGCTCAGGAGAGTGCTTAGAGGAATCCAAGCGGCCCTTCTTTGTATTGGTTAAGTGGTTAAGCTACTGTCTTTATAAGGAGCCAGTTGCTACAAGATATGATTTTCTTGAGCTTCTGTGGGCTTAGGTTCTGGTTTTGGTTGATTTTTTTTTTGAGGTTCTCCAAGACAAATCATATTTATGGGGCTGGAGCGATAATTCATTGGATAAGGCACTTGCCTTCCATCCTGCCAACCCAAGTTCAATCCCTGACACCCCGTATTGTCCACCAGTAGAAATCCCTAAGCACAGAGCCAGGAGTATACCCTAAACACTGCCAAGTGTACCCTAAAACAAGACCCCCCAAAAAACCGAAAAAAGATATATCATATTTATTCCCCACTACATTTAATTTTTAGAAAAAGTCTCACTAGGTTTGGTTTCTCTGCATTTGGTTTATATAATAGATGGTATGGAACAATGATAAAATTAATGAAATTTTGGTTTACACTATAGGGCTTATTTCCTTTCACACTTTGGCTACTTCTGAAATCTATAGAAGGAGCAAGTTGCGGATACTTCCTTTCTACTTTCGTTGCCAGAGAACACTTATTTAACATAACTGTAGACGAAGCAGTCAGAGTCTCTTGGTAACTAGAACATTAACGTAGAGCTGTAACTTGTCCAAGGGATCACTGATACAGGGTGATACCCAACTCTTGGTATAATTTTCTGTCTTTCTGAACTCTGTATATGCTTCATAGTTATCAAAATTATTTTCAAAGTTTATTTAAATGCACTGATACTTAGGTTTCTAATTCTAAATAGTACATTTCTATTTCAGTCCTGTTCAAGATGGTAATACGTTGAGATGATAATCAGGAGGAAGAGTGATTTACTTTCTTTACAAGTACTTTATGAATCAAATGACAGATTTTTACATCTATGTCATTGGCTTTGTGACTCTCCTCTCCAGAGCATTTGGACCTTCTTCATTGAGAACAACATTTCCCACAGAGCCCTGGTGGCTCTGTTCTATCACTTCGTTCAAACAGGCCACAAGAAAAATGTCAGTGTAAAAGCTCGAGAATACGGTCTTCATGCTGCTGGGCTTTACTTTCTGCTACTAGAAGTACCTGGTATGTATATTTGGTATGAGAGGACAAATCTTTTGTGAGTTTCGATTCATCTAAGTTCCTGGTAAGGGGCTGTAATGATGCCAAAGAGATAGTATAGCAGGGAGGGCACTTGCCTTACATGCAGCCAACCTAGGTTTGATCCCCAGCACTACATGATCTTTGCAGCCTGCAAGAAGGGATGCCGAGTACAGAGCAAGAAGTAAAATAAAAAAATATAGTCTTCTGGGAGCAGCTCCCTAGGCCCTAGAGTCATCCCAGAAGCTGGAGTTATTGTGACCCCTCTTTGCAAATTGTTGTAACCAATAAAGACAGTTGTTAGTATCATTTAAAAAAAATGGTGAAGTAGTAGGATCTACTTAATGCAGACAGGAAAGATTTTCTATCTGGATTTATGCAAACCAACATAGTGCCATGAAGCATCAGAAAGGTACGGATGATGCAAACAAGAGAAAAGCAAATATTTCAGTTTACTTACAGTGAAATACAATCTACCCATTTGCTGTGAATCCTGGTCAAAACAGTATTAAAAATTCTGTAGAAGTCAAATATACAGTTTATCAACATGTTTAATTCATTTAGTCCCATGTTGAAAACCTTGATTTTTAATTATCTAAGAGCACTGTAACAGGACTGTGGATAATCTGTCTAATATCTTTTCATAGATCTTGCCAAGAACAATTCTGTAGATACAATTTTTTTGTAGATACAATTTAAATATATAAGATCTATAAGTAACAATCCAGTTATAGTTTCTTTTCTTTAAACACAACCTCAGATATTCTACACTTTTCATTACACTCATTCTGTCCTTGACTTTTCTTCATTCCATTTCAAAACCAGCTTCACTTTAATAGGATTCCTTTTTTCTCACTGGTATCTCCATCCATTAACTTTCTTACTTAACATATACATTTATACTCCTTGTAATCTTATCTAACCTCCTTATTTTACTGAATTTACTACAACCTGATCTCCCAAGAAGTTTGGAAACAAGTTGCTGATCATTATCTCATTTAGCATGACCAAATTGTACTCTGCAGTACTCTTCCAAAAGCATTTACATCAGCTCTATAGATATTCAAAAGGTTTTAAAATGACATGATTAAAGATCTTAATTAAAGGAGGGGGAGGCTGGAGCCATAGCACAGCAGGTAGTGCTTTTGCCTTGCACGAGGACAACCAGCGTTCGAATCCCAGCATCCCATATAGTCCCCCGAGCACTACCAGGAGTAATTCCTGAGTGCAGAGCCAGGAGTAACCCCTGTGCATTGCCAGGTGCGACCCAAAAAGCAAAAAAAAGGAAAAAAAAGATCTTACAGCATATACTACACTTGGCAAAAGTTCACTTCACATTCAGAATTAACCAGAACATATTAAAAAGTTTCAACTTTAGAATTTTGACTTCTAGGAAAGCACAGTTATTATTAAAACACTCACAAAAATTACTATGAAACAGTAAGGATTTCACAGTTATGGATAAAACTTTGTAAAGGTCCAGACTAGTTGATATCTAGTGACAAAGCATTTACATCAGTTCTATAGATACTCAAAAGGTTTTAAAATTCCCATAATTGGACTGGAGTGATAGTACAGTGGGTAGGGCATTTGCCTTGCACACAGCCGACCAGGGTTCTATTTCCAGCATCCCATATAGTCCCCAGAGCATCACCAGGAATAACTCCTGAGAGCCAAGAGGAACCCCTGTGCATTGCTGAGTGTGACTCCCCCCCCCAAAAAAATGCCCATAATTAAAGATCTGACAGTATATACTACACTTTGCAAAAGTTCACTTCGCATTAGGAATTAACCAGAACATAAACAAAAAGTTTCAGCTTTAGAATTTTGATTTCTAGGAAAGCAAAGATATTACAGGGTTAAAGCACTCACAAAGTTAAAAATAAAGTTATCCTCATAATAGCATCATTTTCATGTACTATACAGACTGATTGACAGTAGTCTGGAAAAGGAAAAAATTGATAGTTTGTTTTCCACATTTTTCACAGAATTCCCATTCTCAGAAACCACTGAAGTTGAAGTGGCTCTTTGTAGCAGTGGCTGAGTCTTAAAACTCCCCATTTTCTTTTCTTCAGACTCTTTATCAGTAAGTAGCTGTTCCCTAGATCACTTCTGAAGGGAGAGGTAAGATAATGGAGCTTTGTGCAGTTCTTTGCATTCAATTTTATAACTTCTAGGAATCTATGTCTTAAACGAAATTATTACTCCTTGAGCCAGTTTTTTTTATTACCTCAGTTATTCCAAATCATGAGTTATAGGCCAGATGTTTTAACAATTCCACACAGAGAAAAACTAACCTATGCTTTCAGACACAGAAAAGACCCTTAGTTCTTACCAAACTTTTAGGTACCAGCATAAGAAAATACTTGAACTGCCAATGTTTTAAGAAAACATGAGAAATCTTTCTTTGACTTAATTTCTCTACCTCTGTTATTAGTAAAACAGCTTAATTTCTCGTAAAAATGCAACTGTTTCACAGAGCTTTAATCTCGCTTCTGCCTTTTGGTTTAGCTCTGCCACCCTTCAGAACATTGAAGGTTCTGAAGCCAAGAGAACTTATGGTGTCAGGGACCATTCAACTTTTTCAAACAAGAAATTTGGATTAAGAATATCAGTTTCTCTTTGTGCTCAATATTTAGTTTGGAAACCTTTCAGCTTACTCATGGTCTAGGACAGTCCAAAAGCATCTTTACAATTTCATACACAGGCAGAAAATTTTTCTACGAAATAGGGTGTGGCCATCACACACACAAGCACACCTGCCTACTGAGACTATCCTTTGCTCGTCACCACCACCACACTCGCACTAAAACCTCCCCTAGCCCCCCCGACACACACACACACACACTCCAAACAGGTCTAAAAAGAGCTTCTTTGATACTAAGCCAGCAAAGCTAACTTATAGCCAAGTCATTTTATTTATTTTTTTACCATTTTAAAAAGTTTTCTTTTTTTTTTAATTTTTACTAGTGAAACACCATGAAGTACAGTTGTAGACTTACAAATTTTTGTGCTTGGGTTTCTGTTATGCAATGGTTGAGTACCCATCCCTCCACCAGTGCCCATTCCCTACCTCCAATGCTCCCAGCATCCCTCTCACCACCCCAATCCCCACCCCACCCCTATGGCAGGGCATTCCCTTATGTTCTCTAGAGGCATTGAGTGGCAATCATGTTCAGTCTATAGTCTATTTTCAGCATGCATCTCTCATCCTGGGAGGATCCTCCCAACACCCGTTACTTGGTGCTCCCCTCTCCATCTGAGCTACCTTCTCCCCCAGCATGTACGGCTGGCCTCCAAGCCATGGATAGCCAAGTCATTTTAAATCTTAAGAATAGTGCAGCATTTTCAGTTAAAAACAAATAGAAGGAGAATCAGTGCCCCGTGGGGCAAGAATAACAAGGAACAAGGGCTTGTAACAGTCAATGGGGAAGACTGCCGCTTGGAATCTCAAAGGAAAGAAGTGGTTGCAACACTAAGCATACATTGGTCGGACAGACAGAAAAACAAATAAATGAATAATAAACCAACAGACAGACAACATAGACCACAAATAGGAATGGGCAGCCATCGGGTGCTAGCCCGGCAGGATCCCTCTAAAGATCTTAAGGTCACCTTGACATCAGAGTATGGGTATAATCCCACACCTGGTTGCTGCTGTAAACTGAAATTCAGGGGCAGGCGGGGAAAGGGCAAATCTCCATGAGCCTATATGGTATCCACAGAAGCCAAACCACAGATTAGATACACTCAGATCCTGTAGCCGAAACCATGGGACCACCAATCAATCCAAACACTCTCACACACTCCCATTCAAGCCAGGAAATAAGGCTGACTGATCAGCACAGGACAACAACAATAACAAAAAACAGACAGGTGGCCATCAACCAGATGATCCTACCAGATCCTGCGAGGCAGGGTTATATCTCACTCTTGACTCTTCTTGAGTCTAGGAGAGTAAACAGCACCTGATCCCTCCTCAGACACTGATAGTGTTGGCTATAATAGACTTTACCTCAGGAGGTCTTTTAGATAATTTCCTGCAAGATGTTCCAAGGGGTGATATCAGACCTGGGACTTCTTACTATCCTATAGCTGAGGAATGTCATCTCAGTAGCCTCTCCTAGGACAGAACGAAAGGGCCCTCGCAGCATTCTCCCCCACGGGACAAGGCCTGTTTTTTTTTTTTTTTTTTAATCTTGATGGGGCCTCCAAATGCTATAGGCTAGGCAGTCTCAAGTCAAGGAACCTTTATTAGCTTGCCAGCAACTACTCTCTCAAGCCCAGCCTGGATGAGAAAGGCATCCCTGAGTGAAAAAACAAGGGTTTTTCAAAGGGCCAAATCACTTCGAATTTCACTAAGCAAGAAAGCAAATTTATAGAAGCCAAAAAGCAGGTAAACTAAACAATCCATTGATTAACACAGAAACCAAAAATAAAATAGTCAAACAACTGAAATAGTTTTAGTCAAGTGGTTGAGTGGTTAATAAAAAGTTCAGTGGTTAAGTGATTAACCAATTGAGTAGTTAGACAAGGAATCTAATAGTTAATCAAAGAATAAAATAGTCAAATAGTATTAGATATTCAATCAATCAATTGATGAGAGAAAAAATGGAAAAGAAAATGGTTAGCTTCATTCTAGAACATGATTAGCTAAATTCATTCTTTAACATTCTTTATTGATTCACTAGAGTTTTGCGTTTTTTTCTTTCTGACAATTGAGTGTATCCATTCTGGATGCCTAGATCAAATCAGTCTTCCACAGTGGTAACCAATGTTTTTAGTTTTTTATTTTTTAATTTTTTGAATTATCGAATCACCGTGATTCATCACACAGTTACAAAGTTGTTCATGATTAAGTTTCAGTCATACAATGTTCCAACACCCATTCCTTCACCAGTATGTATTTCCCACTAACAATGTCCCATTTCCCTCCAACCCCCACGCCCCAGCCTACCTCAATGGCAGGTACTTTTTCTCTCTCT